AATAATGGAGCATAATTGTACATTAAGACCTGATTATCTGTGTTTATTATTTCAACTTAGCTGATGAGATTCTGTCTCAGCCTGGGTTCCTCCAATAAAGGCTTCTTCACAGGTAATTTAACTGGGAATATGACCCCAGAGAGCAGGAATAATGAACAGAGGAGTAAAAACAGGGAAGAAAAGTTGAAAATAAGGATGCATTATCAAAATGACCATGGCTATGGCCAACTTGTGCTGGATGCCATAGGTCTTCTGAGAAGCCTTAATGAAATCCATGAAATAGAAAGGAGAAGAAATTTCCATGGCCTTCCATCCCCTGTGGTTGAAGGTGGCCCCTTGGACTATGACTACTGCATAACCACTTGTAGGTTGCACATGTGTGGCAATTCGATGGGCAGTTCACATTTCTGTGTCAGAAAAGCAGCAGGGAAGGAAGCAAGAAGCTCACACCTTGGCCAGAGGTGAGGTACTCTCCACCTGCACTTGCAAGAAGCTGGTCAAAGACTATCAAAACTGGCTGTAGCCCTAACCGGTTTGGCTCAGTGGATAGAGCGTCGGCCTGCGGACTGAAGGGTCCCAGGTTTGATTCCGGCCAAGGCCATGTACCTTGGTTGCGGGCACATACCCATTGGGGAGTGTGCAGGATGCAGCTGATCGATGTTTCTCTCTCATCGATGTTTCTAACTCTCTATCCCTCTCCCTTCCTCTCTGTAAAAAATCAATAAAATATATTTTTTTAAAACTGGCTGTAGAAAAAGTAACTTCAGTAAGATGTGGATGAGGGGATTTAAAGTGATGCACAAGTAGTATCTGATACTGCAGAACCTTTGCACTACTCAGGTTCATCCTTTCTCTTCATTAACTCCTGTCTGTCACCAAGTCTCCTTCAAGGTGCTAGCCAGCCACAACCTCTGCAAGTGGGCTTATGGAATAGCTGCAGCCCCTGCTACTGCAGCTGGTCCCAAAGCTTTATTGATAGTCATCATCTTTCTCCTCCACTATCCATTCCGAATTTCTCTCAGCCTTGCCAGCATCTCAGCTGGTCTAAGACTGCTTGCCTAAGAGTTATCCAGACCTTCTTTCCTTAGGTTTCACCATTATCACCTGGCACAAAATACCAGGAGATGCACCAATCAAGTTCCTGAACATTCTCCCTGCCTCTATTATATAGCAGCTACTCAGGCCCTTTATGTTAATAAGGGTAGATTAATCTTGCAAATACATTATTCCCCTTTGCTTTATGCCCTAGGAATGAGGAGTCCGAAGTGATCAGGTGACAGTCATGCTCCGTGGAACTCTTTTACTTTGTCTTCTGGTGGAGGTGTTCTCCTTCCTGGGACCCAGGACCTCTAATCCATCAGAGCTTAAGGTTTCAGGAACAGGAAGCATAAACTTTGAAAATGGGTTACTAGGAGTAATGGTGAAAGCAACTGGTTGCATTTACACCCTTTGGCTCCTGTAGGGACATAGCACCATATTTCAGCAATCAATACAGCACATATAGCTCATCTTTTCTCTAATCCAGCACTTTAGCTGAGCTTTCAACAGGTCATCTGCTTCTGGGTGACGAGATATACTCTAATCCCAGTGGAATGGTCATGCACCCATTCTTACACCACCTGTGTGGTAAATTAATCCCTTGAGCAAAAGCAATGTGTGGGGGATGTCATGCCAATGGATAAGGCATTCGGTAAGCCCTCAATTAGTGGTGTTGGTTTGGTGGAGACTCTGTTGCCAGAGAATGCAAATTCATTGCCATAGTAGGTTTTTATTTCAGTACCGATGAATTGTTACCATCTCCAGGGCGGAAGGGCCACAGACCCATTGTACCTTCTGTGAAACTCTCGAGCTAGAACTTTAAATTTCACCTGGCCTCCATTTGCCCCTACTCTAACCGGAAAACCACGATGTCATTTCAGGTCCCCTGGCTCATCCCCTTCATCCAACAGTCCTTGACAAGTCTAAGTACCATTCTTCCCCATTTTCACCTGGCCTCCGTATGCCCCCATTGTAACTAGAGGACCATGGTGGCTCTTCTGGTCCTCTGGCGTTAGTGTTAGTTCATACCCCTTATCCAAAGTCCCCCAAAACGCTAACTATTCTTCTTTTTTAATGCAGTGTTACTCTAGTAAATGGCCATAGGGCCCTTTGTGAAAGGACAGGGAGAATGTTTATAATCATTCTTGTGATAGATAGGGTCTTTCCTCAAGGGCACTCAGCCTCCCTTTTAACCAATGAGATCTGGGTCTATGAAGTTATATAAATCTACAAATGGGGTAAAGGACCCAGATTTTCCATTGGGATAACTGACAGGATTCTGCTCTCCAGATCTATTTGTCTGTTACACACACAAACAAGTAATCACCCGGTCAGCTGTTCATTAGTCTCATCTCTAAAAACACTATGATTAGCCCATGCCACAGATTCCTGCAGATCAAGGCAACCTGCTTGCTACTACAGACTTCCGCCTGTGTCAGTAATTACACCAGCTTGCCTCTGAGCAAGTATTGTTACATGGGTTCTTCCCATCCAGAAATCCTCTAATCCCACTGATATCAGGGAGACTGGTTCCATAGCAGCATCTCCTCTTAATAACTCTGACCCGCGGAGGACAGGCATCACCAGATTTGTTAAAAAAAATGTTGATGTCCCTCTCATCAGTGAATTCCTCCTTGCCTTGCTGAAGGGAATGTGCTAGGTTCTAGATGTCACGTAACAAATTCAGTCTGACATGAGCCTTTGGATGTCATCCTTTATATTAAGCCAAAGCAATTTCAGCATCTCTGCCTCATTTTCCTATTGGCCATCATCACATCCAGTCTTCAAGGAAACATCCCAGCAACATACTAGGACCACCTCCACGTGTTCTTATTAGGATATTGAACACCACGTCATGAGTGAGTATTTCCAGCCTTGTTTTATTCCTCCCACTAGTTCAACACCTACATGATTTTCCCTGGTTCCTTTTAGTATCTAATGTGGGACCTGCAATTACTGTAAATCATTTCCTCCTGAAGTAAGGATATTTCCCTGCTCAGGTGTCTGAGATCTAATCCCAGGTACTGGCATACAGATGATTTGTGGCATCCTGTATCATTTTGTGAGTTATGTTCTTCATATGGGGGCTCCAAATCTTCGCAGGGTCTCAAGGCAATAGGAGGATGCTCTCTTTTAGCAAGGAGAATTAGACTGCTTCTACCAATGTGGGGAGTTCAGGGAAATCTGAGAGTGATTCCCACTCATCTGTCCAAATGCCTGTATTCCAGGTTTCAGGATTACATTGTTTTCTACCAGGGCCTGAACTCAGTACACCCAAAGAGGCTGTGCCTGCAGTCTCCTTTGCAGCTATGTTGTCCTGATTATTTGATCCTGGGCCTGATTTTCAACACAGACTTTCCTGCAGGTGTAGGAAATGATGATCTCCTATAATAGTGATTTTGGGTCAACCCTTCACCTTCCACCTGTATCTCTGCCAAGCCAACCTCAGATAAGAATCTGAGTAGCTGCATGTCACTGGCTATCACCACCTCTATCCCATTACCAGTGGGGTCTTCATTGCCATTTGACTGGCGGGTTACCCAGTTCCCAAATCCCATTCTAATTATCTGCTTTCCAGGGCTAATCCTGATACTGGCCATCTTTCCCACAGTACCCCTGAAAGCAGAATGTGAGACATCAAGCTGCATGAGTGTAATTTATTTGAGAATGTGTCGCAAGTAGCAGAAGTGATTAACAGGAGAATGACAGAGAAGGCTGAAAAGGCAATACAAGAATGTATTATCAAATGGGCCATTGCTGTGAACTGGTTCTGATCACATAGGACATTCTGGGAAATCTTATGAAATGTGTATCAATACTGTCCATCCTGGGGTTGAAGGGGAGAGTCATTTATTCACCAGTTCCTTTGATCAGTGATGGGCCCACAAAGGTTAAGACCTCACACTTCCAAGTTTAAGTGTTGGGTGCTGAATGGATTCCCTCAGGGATCAGAATGTAAGAGGTCTCCATTGCAAGCTCAGGGCCAGCACACAGTTGAGTTACACCTGAGTGAAGCTAGTGGAAGCCTGAGTGCAACGGTCCTAAGCAGCAGCGGCTGGAGTCAAAGACGAGGCTGAGAAGATCTGCATAATATAAATAAACGTGAAAGAGGCCTGATTTGCAAGAGGCTTACTAGTAGGGATGGGTGGGCCATAAAATTGGTACCTACCATCATCATGTATCTACACCGAACAAAATATAAAGGAAATTGAAATGATTTGTAGATTGCGAGGATTGAATGAAATAATGCAGGTGAAGCTCCTATCAACTTCAGTGTGCAATAGCAGCTTTAAAAAAATCTGTATTATTCAAATTTTGATCATAGGACACAGCTCTTGGCAGGATACATTTGTATCACAATAAACACATGCTGAATTAAAAATTCAGGCTGAAGATGTTGAGGTCCATAACCTGTGTCTGCCAGCAGCACCCCTTGTCGATTTTACTTTCACTACCATAAATGCTGTCCTCTGAAACTCCAAATTGTTGGTTTGGGGGTTTATTTTTAGAGAAATAGCAAAACAAACAACACACACACACACACACAAACAAATAAATAATTATAGATGCCGCTAGAATGGGGAAAAGGAGGTGTAGCAGGTGGGTGTGTTAGGGTGTACTTTAAATTTCTTGCCCACTAGATGGTGGAACAGAGTCCCTATCCTGACAACAGGATGCTCACAGGTTTGAGTCTCTCTCACAACGCCACACAGGACTTTGCACGTAGAAGAAACCCAATACATTAAATGTTTTCAAAAACTTTCGCTTGTTAAGCAGCGAGCTGAAACGACAAAGGTGGGGAAGGTTAGAAAGAGATGAGAAGCTAAGCAATACAAGGACTAGGGGAGCTAAACTACATTTCCCAGAAGCCCACGGGTTGGACCTACAACACCCATCATGCACGTGTTCCCGCTCTCCTAACCGGTCGGTGCTTCCACGTTTCCGAGGAGCGCAAAGAGAGACGCGGGGTCCCTACGGTGCGGCAGCGACGGCTCTTAACCGCCACAGGATCCTAAGCCGGGGCTATTCCCGCCTTCACTCTGAGGCAAAAAGACGCTAACGGCCGTCCGGTCGGACCCACGAGCCACGTGACGAGCCCGGGTCATGTGACTCCGAGCCAGGCGGCTGACGTCTGTTACCCTGACAACTGCTGGGCCCCCAGCCGACTTCCCGGCAAAGCGCGGAATTCGGAGGCGAAGGTGGGTGAGGCGCGGACACGGCTTCCCCGGGGCCGAGAGTGTCCTCAGAGCTTTCGTTTTGGGTCCCTCCCCACCTCCGCCCGGACTCCAGCTGCAAGTGCGCCTTTGTCTTCCCGCCGCCACCGGAACCCGCGCTTCCTGGAGCCGGGACCCCTGCCGAGTGGGGTCCCTGTGGGTGGGATCCGCTGTGACCAGGAGTTTGAGGCCGAGGTGGTCACCGCACGCACCTTGCAAGGTGGCGAGACGCTAATGAGGGGGAGGAGGTGTTCTTCCGCAGGGGCGGCTGCGAGGCGGTGGCTCTGCGGGCCTCCCCTCTCCCGCCTCCGGGAGAGGAGGCTGCCGTGCAGGGCGCGCCGGGGAGGTGAGTTCCTAGGGTGCGGGGAGAGCTTTATGCTGCAAGGCGCTGCTGCATCGTTTGTGTTGACTTTCCCTCGCGACAAAAGAAACAACTTGATTCTGGTTGATGTGTATATCCCATTAATTTTATTTTAGGTAGATTTTGAGACTTAATCGGCTCCATTTGATTCCATTTGTCTGTATTTGGAAACATCCCCGTGCCTGGAAAGTCTGTTTTGCAAAGCTGTTAATAATGGATCGATAACTAGCTGAGTGATGAGTCAGCCCAAATTGTCCTGTGCTTTGCCAAAAAGAAACGGTATTTTTGGATTTCCTAAATTTTTAATTTTTAAAAGATTCCTTGAGAGTTCCAGGTTTGTTTAAGGGATATTAAATTTTAACACTCGCGCGCACATACACACATGATAGAGTTAGGAAATATTGTGGAGGCCTTGAACAACAGGATGTTAACAATAAAAATGTATTTCTGGACTCTAAGTAAAAGGCAGATTGTGACGGCTGCTTTTCCAAATCAGTTTTATGACTGAATTAGGACTCTCTTGCTCAGCTTACTGGTCCATAAGTGTGCATATATACTAAAATCATAAAATGTCTGAGGTTTAAGTCTGGTTGTTTTCATGATGTGATATAAATTTCCTCAAAAGATGTTTATTATTTCTTGTTATTTAGTGTTCCAATGTTGTAAATACTTTGGAATGTTTATCTTGGCAAGTGAAAATTATTGATTATGGCTCACTATCCCAAAGAACTGGATAAAGAGTTTGAACAGTTCATGAAAGAGGTAAGTGTATATTTTTAAAAGGTGTATTGTAAATTTGTCTCGTAAGAAATTCACCCTTCAGTTTTCTCTTTCACCTCTAAGATCCAGTCCATCATCAAGCTTTGTCTCCAGATTATACCTATTATCCTTCTATTCCCTTCCTTTTCACTACCACTATCCTAGTCCAGGACACCAACAGCTCAGCTGGGCTACTACACCAGTTCCCAAGTACTGTCCCAGCATTCCTTCACCATTCTGCAGCCTGCATGATGTGTTATATAAATCAGACTCTGTTGGCCTTCTGTCATCTATACTAATAAAAGGGTAATATGCTAGACCAGACGTCTTCCAGGCGTCCTTCCAGATGTCCTCCTGGACGAAGCCATGGTGGAGGGGGCCAAGGCAGAGGTGGTTAGGGGCGATCAGGCTGGCAGGGGAGAGCGGTTAGGGGCGATCAGGCAGGCAGGCAGAGGTGAGCTGTTAGGAACCAGCGGTCCTGAATTGTGAGAGGGACGTCCGACTGCCAGACATCCCCCGAGGGATCTGGGATTGGAGAGGGTGCAAGCTGGGCTGAGGGATACTCCCCCCCCCCCTGCACAAATTTCATGCACTGGGCCTCTAGTATAAAAGTCCAAACTCATTCCCAGGGTTTACAGAGCCCTGGATGATTTTACTCATGCCTATTTCACTGACTTTATATCACTCTTACTTATTACCCACTTATGTTACAGTGGCCTTTTCCCCTCTAGACATGTCAAGCTCAACTCATAGTAGGAGCTTTGCACTGGCTGTTCCCTCTGCCAATAATGTTGTTCCCCTATTCTTCACTGGGCTGGCGAAAATCTCATCTTAAATATTACTACCTCAGAAAAGGTTTTTTTCTGTTCATCCAGTAAAAAAGAAACCACCAAGTTACTTAGTATACCATGTATTTATACTATACAAAAGTCTAATAATACTATGCAAGTATTATTTTACTTATATAGGTCTATTTTCTGTTTCCCATCATAAGAATGTTTAATCTATGACAAGTTGTAGCATATGTCAATGTCTCATTCTTTTTTATAGCTTAATAATATTTTATTGTATGGGTTTACCACATGTTTACCCACTTACTAGTTTATAGACATTTGAGTTCTTTCCACTTTTTGGCAATTATGAATAATTATGGTATGAACAGTCATGCACATGTTTTTGAGTGGATGTACGTTTTCATTTCTCTTGTGTATATACCTAGTAGTAGGAATGCTGGGTCATATGGTAACTCTGTTTAACCTTGTGGGGAGCTGCCAGACTGTTTTCTAAGTGGCTGTGCCATTTTCCATTCCCAGCAGCAGTGTATTAGGGTTCCAATTTCTTCATATCCTTGCAGCACTGTTAATTACTTGGGGACCAGCTTTTTTTCTTTTGTTTTTTGTTGTTGTTGTTTTTGTCGTCGTTTTTGTTAATCCTAACCTGAGGATATTTTTCCCATTGATTTTTGGAAAGAGTGGAAAGGAGGGGGAGAGACATAAAGAGAGAAACATTGATGTGGGAGAGAGACACATTGATTGGTTTCCTTCCACATGCACCCCAACGGGCTCTGGGGAATCGAACCTACAACCAAAGTACATGCCCTTGACCGGAATCGAACCTGGGACCCTTCAGTCCATGGGCCAATGCTTTAACCACTGAGTCAAACCAACTAGAGCTTTTGTTTTGTTTTAAATATGTTTTTATTGATTTGAGAGAGAGAGACATCAATTGGGGATCAAGCCTGCAACCCAGGCATGTGCCCTGACCGGAAATCGAACCAGCAACCTTTTGGTGCATGGGCTAAGACTCCAACCAGCTGAGCCATACCAGTCAGGGCTGTTTTGTTTTTAATTATTGTAATCTGGAAAGCAGTGCAATATTGTCAAAAGTGGAAATACCTACTATGTATTAGACAATAGGGTGGGCATTCTGCATTTTTATTTATGTTTTCTGATTTTTGCCACAAGCATTCAAGGTCAATGCTACTATGACTATTTTTAACAGATGAATAAAGTAAAAAGAGGTGTAATATTCCCTAAGCAATAGAGCTAGCATATTTTGAAGTTGAAGTTTCAACTCAGATCTGTCAGGCCCCCAAACCTATATACTCCTTCCACACTCTTATGTGGCCATGGAGTTTAGAAGGAGTAGACTGAGTCTGAGACAGATTCTCAGAATTTGGTAAACAGGAAGATGTAGGGAGGAGAGAGAAATGGGACATTTTGAGGTGATAGTGAAGTTTAGAGACTGAGTGGAAGGTGATGCAACTAAAATTCAGGTGGAATAAATATCTTTTCTTCCCTCCTCTCTTCCTGCCTGGTTGTCAGGGAAGACAATTAGTTGTTTTTGAACGTTTAAAAATTGACAGTCTTACAAATCATTGAGCTAGAGTTGCTTGGTTGGCAGGTGAAATGTGTGTTGTCATATTGGAAGTTCAAAAGGTCACTCTGGTAGCAATGTCCTTGTTGGGAGACTAAACAGTGTAGTAGAAAGTGGAAAAGTTTTAGTCACAGAGATCTCAGTTTGAAACCCAGCTCTGTAACACCAGCAGTAGCCTCTTTAAGCCTCGTTTAACCTCTTTAAACTGTTTCCCTGTCTGTAAATCTCTTCTAGATTACTTCAAGATTGAGATAATTTGAGACCAGATCCTGCCATAGAACAGGTATAGGATCAATGTTGGTTGCTTCTTTGGGAAGAGTGCACAGAATGAGAATAAAAAGAACCAAGAGCAGAGTCCTGGGGAAGTCTAGTGTTAAAGAAACACACATTGCCAAGAGCTATTAAAGTAGGTGGGTGAGGAAGGTTACTGAGCTTTTCCCACCAAACCACCAAGTTTTCCACAGAGCTTGGAGGACATGAATGCTGTGAAGTCAGAGGTAGAGAGTTTCAAGAAGTTTCAGAGTTGGTCACTGGTATCAAGTTCCATGACGTGATCAGGGAAGGGGGCTGACAGTGGTCCTTTGTTGGTGGTATTTAGGAGGTCTTTGGTACGTGGAGGAGAGCTGTTTTGGATGAGAACCAGGTTTTAAGGATTGTTTGGCTTGGGTTAGTGTTGTTGTTTTTTAAATAGAGTAGCCCAGAGTGTTCATTCTTCCAGTCCACAATTGTGCCTGGGGATGCAGTGATGAGCAGGTTTTTCATCTGAAGGAAGGGTGAGAGGAGGGGGAGGAGGGATTAAGATACAGAGATACAATGGGATAACCAAGGAAGTAACAACTTGGAGAGGTGGGAAGTGACCCCTCTGCAGGTTCTCCATAAAGTGGAAGAAACAATTTCTCTTCTGCGAGAGAAAAGCAATGTTTTAACAGGTGAGTTTAGTGATGGAGTGAGTGGGAAGGGGGTGGGTTTTGATTGAAGGTCTTTTATTTTCTCAGTGAGGAGAGAGGCCAAGTTATTGGCTAAGAGTAAGGGGGCTAGGTTGGGGTTAGAGTATGGAGTTTAGGGTTGTAGTAAAATTTGGATCTGAAGAGTTGAAAAGGACAAATAAATATTTGTTAAATCCTATCAATTACTGTGACAAAATGCTAATTTCTCTGGTAAACACCTAAAACTCAGCTCTCCCTGGTCTTAGAATTCTGTGTTCTAGAGTGATGCTAGGTAATTTTGCTCAATCATTATTTATTCTTAGACCGTCTAAAAGAGGATTGTATCTTTCTTTTTTTCCTTTCCTGATTTTCTTGATCAAATTTTCTTTATTTCTTTGTTGTTATTGTTCTCCCTAGTTAGTTTACGTGTTTAATTCTGTGTATGAAATTGGTGTTCAGAGATATGTGCTTGATTTTTAACTTATTTTGGTCATATATGTTTAGAAATATGAATTCACACATTAATGCTGAGAATATTGCTTATGTATGGAATAGTTGAACTGTGAGAGAAGGAAGAAACATTTTAGTGATGAATCTGGAATTCTCAAATTTAAAATTTAGTAGCTTATATCTGATTCAGCTTTCAGATGATTCTTTTGAAAATTCAAACAAAACGCCTAGACAACCTAAAAGAGACGTGAAAAAGAAAGACACACTGCCATGGTGGATAACAGAAGGTGATTTCGAAGATGGTGGTAAATATTGCTGATTTTTCATTTCACATTATTTGACCACAAGGGGTCAGTCAAGACTTTTAATTCTGGATTTTGTTATTGTACTATAAATATATAAAGACAATAATTTGAATTTATTTTCTTCATTTTATTATATACAGTATTATATAATTGAGAGTCTATATTTCTGCATTATTAGGTTATTTTACATTGAGATCATTTTTATTTACTCAAATTAAGATGATGTATAATATCAGTATGTTTATATATAATTATATTTAATGGTAAATTGATTTAAGGTGATTTAATAAAATATCCTGACAACATATTAATGTCATTGCATGGGCAGAATTTAACAAATCTATAGATTTTGGTATCACAGTTTCTTATAACATTAGTAAAATAAATTATCACAGAACTATTCCTCATTGCATTGTTACAAATAGAAAATTACTCTCTGGAGCAGCAGTCGCCAACCTTTCGGACCTCACAGACCACCAGTGGTCCGTGGACCACCGATTGGCGACCGCTGCTCTGGAGTGTTTTCTTCAGTGTACTATGTATGGTGATCGTTGTATCTCTAAGGAACTGAGACTACCGTGAAATACCTATGTTCACACTGCTTGCGGGTCATTAAACAGCATTTTATAAACTGATAAGATTTAGTATCTCTTCTCTAGGGGGAAAATTTACCCATGGCTTTTGTTTTTCCCCCATAAAACAGCCCAGATGCCCTAATGTGATAGTTACAGCTCTACCTAATCTGACTGGAACCCTTCTTTCTAGCCTCATGTGCTCCAGCCATATTCGGTTATTCCTTCTCTGCTGGAAGCATCATTGGCTCCATGCCTGTGTGCGTTAGCTCATGCCTTCTTGCTCTAGAATGCCTTTCCTCTCATCCTTCTTGTCCAGTAAAGTTTGCTATCACCTCTTTTGCAATCCTTCCCTAACTCTTCTAACTCCCTTACCAACACAATTATTTTCTCCTTTGTTTCAGTGTCAAAACACCATAATAGCATTTATGCATTGTGGTAATACTTGTAACCTACTGCTGAGGTTGGCAGCTTTGTGAGGGCAGGAAACACTTCTTTTCCTTGTATCCCCTGACCCTCAATAGTAAATAATGAATGTGTTTAACAAATGAATGTAAGAGTGAATTTGATAGTCATTTATCTGTTCTTAATAATGTAAATAAGGAATTGATTAATTGAAAAATTCAGTGCATTTTTTTTCGTAAATCTCCAAACTATACAACAGTGTTAAAGTTTGCATGTGAAGAATTCTTTTTTAGAATCTTTCCCTCCGTTGTAAAGGATATAATATGATGAAGTGCTATTGGAATTGTTGACAAAGATTTGAGAGTTAATTAGCATTAAAGTCTCTTTTCTAGAAAATAATCAGATGGAATGATGTATAAATTCACTTCAAAGGGAAAAAATAGGTCCTGGACCAACACTCGAATGTAGTCTGACTAAAGGTATTACTAATTTTTAAAAGGATTTATCAATCAGTGGTGGATTTGACTAGTAAAGGATGCAAGGAAGGATACTTAAGAAATAAACTTTGCCCAGCTGGTGTGGCTCAGTGGTTGAGCATTGACTCATGAACCATGAGGTTAAGGTTCAATTCTGGTCAGGGCACATGCCCAGGTTTTGGGCTCAATCCCCAGTAGGGGGCATGCATGAGGCAGCCAGTCAATGTTTCTCATCATTGATGTTTCTAACACTCTCTCCCTCTTCCTTCCTCTTTCTGAAATAAATAAAATCATATTTAATAAATAAACATAAATGGAAACAAACTTTGACATTGTCCTTTTACACACAAGGGAGAGAGTTTCTCCACCCAAGGGCATAACCTGATCCCTGTTCAGTCACAAACTGTAATAGAGTTTATGGTATGTTCTGAGTACCAGGTGACTCTCAGTACTAGGTGATTCCTCTCATCCAGGTATAAGCTTCTGAGGGAGATGGCAGCACCCTCTTGAGGAGAGGAACCCTTTACCTACCCTAGATAGATGCCATTGAACGTCAACATTGAGAACTCCAGCCTTATAATTTTGCTTTCTCTTTGAGTTACCATAAGGACAAAATGTTCTGCCTAGAGCAGCAGTTCTCAACCTGTGGGTCGAGACCCCTTTGGCGGTCGAACGACCCTTTCACAGGGTCGCCTAAGACCATCCTGCATATCAGATATTTACATTACGATTCATAACAGTAGCAACATTACAGTTATGAAGTAGCAACGAAAATAATTTTATGGTTGGGTCACAACATGAGGAACTGTATTTAAAGGGCCAGAAGGTTGAGAACCACTGGCCTAGAGGGTAAAACCGTCTAATCCTCCTGCTGGGTATCCTCTTCATTACCAATAACTCAATTGCACCTTGGTTTCGGTTATAGTAGTCTCTTGTGAGCACGGTTAGCATGGGTCACATCCCTGTGTCAGCATTGGAACTAGGTGAAACCCAGACAGACAGCACCCCAGCACCCCAGCCTTGGCATGCACGTTCTCCTTTGACGTGTCTCTTGAGTGTCTCTTGATTTTCTGCAGCTGTGGAAGTTATTTGAGCTATGGAACCATTAGGCACACCTAAAGCCATAAAATAAATAGATTCTGAACCCTTTCCAAGAGGACACTAATTAGGACATTGCATACAAAATGTGTGACTTCTTAAGGCTTCCTGCAAAGCAAAAGTTATATTTTCCTAATCTTAATACGTATTTCTATCATGTAATATAATCTACTTTCTCTATATATCAGTTTTTTACAACTGATGTGTAGTATTGGGATAAAGAAATTTTGATGTTACATAACTTTTTCATTGTTTTCTATTGCTTTTGGAATAAAGAGAAAATCTCACTCCTGGCCTGTGAGGATGAGAATGGTCTAACCATCAGCTCCTGCTCTGGGCTTATTTCTACCCTGACTGACCTTTACTCTCTAGACCCACCTTCACTGGCTTTTTTGCATCCTCAGATATGGCTGTTCCCTCACATTGTTGACCCTTTGTACCTCTTCCCTCTACCTGGAATTGCCTCCCTTTTCCATTTCAGCTGGTTATTTACTAATCTTCCTTCACATAGGGCAGACACTGTTCTTTAAAATAGCATGGTACACTGTATAAAAGTGCTGTGCTCTTTTCACCCTCATAATGCAAAAATTTAAAATATTCTTAAGATACACTGCAAACAAATATAATTTTTCTTTTGTGAATTTTAGGTTTGATGGATTTTTATTTAATAGATTAGATTTATTTTGTAGCTATTGTCCACAAAATTAGTATAATAGTATGGTGTTGGCATAGTTGTCAAAACAATGTCCTGAATATAAATATCCAGTTATATTAAATCCCATCCCTAGGACGGCTTGGAACAAATGTAAGCTATCTGAAAACAAAGGTGACTTCTCAGCCTATTATGGAAATAGAAGAGGAGTCTGCTGAGAGGATTCAGTTTCTCAAGAGCAGTGGGACCTCTATCCTAAGTATTGACAGCTTAGAAACAAATGGTAAGAAATGTGAGACATATGAGTTGATAGGCTAGTTACTATGCTTATAATCAGAATTTTTACAAAAATTACAATCTTGAAGCACTTAGATTTAATATTTTTCTAAAAAGTTTACAATTACACTTATAGAGAATCCTATAATCTTGCTTATTGATTATGAATATACATCTATGCTTATTGATTATGAATATACTATATTGGGTGAAAGATTAAGTAAAGTATGTTTTATATTTTTTAAAATTTTACTATATAATGTTAAATGCATCACTAAAATTAATTTTATCAAAATTCTGTATGTTAATAAAATGTATTTGTGCCTTCATTTAGAAAGAGTAGTTTCTGAGCTCAATCATAGTGTTCTCGGATTGGGATTGGACACATTCGAAGAAAAAGAAGAAAAAGAGCAATTTTTTGCCAGACTTGAGAAAGGGTTAACATCTTCCATTGATTATTCAAGATTAAATAAGGAATTGGATTCTAATGAGTCCACACAATTTAAAGCTTTACATAGGTAATGTAACTATATTATAAACTAATCGTTAAATGATTTTTGTGTGTGTGTTTTTCTAAATTTTTGGAAGACTGGTATATACTTGGACTAAAATGGGTAAGTATTATAACAGGCAAAAGTAGAATCTTATTTTTAACTCTATTCTCTGTTTATTATGTTGGTCAGAGTTTTTCTTTTATGTGAACAGAATACATTGATTTGTATTCGAGAGCCCACTCTCCCTCCAGATATCTGAATGTCATGCCTGAGATATTACTGAGACTAACAGCCATTGCCAGAAAGACCTTACTAGGAAGGTAACTTACCAAGTGATTTTCCACAGATAAGGTAAATAACTGAGTTCAGGTAGCTGTTAGATACTCAGATGGGAAAGGAACAGAAACAGGTTGGGGAACCAGGGTTTGTGTCCTACCTTTGTGTATATTTGACCCTAATGATTATTTGAACACCTCATTTATTCTGGAAATCCTGCTAGTTGACTGAGCTGGTCCTCTGTAAGTAAGGTAGACTTTTGACATTTTCAAGATCTTTGTGAAACCTGAATCTTTCATTTCCTCAGTTTTATATATCATTTAATATTTTAATTTTAAGTGAAAGTCAGATTACAATTCTAAGGTTTTGAAGAACACCAAACTATAATTATTAGTGCCTGCTTTCCTCACGAAGCTTAGTTTCTTACAGATGGTGGACAAAGCAGTGATTACCATGGACTGTGTGGGCTCTGAGATCGTTACCCTACTTGGACGTTAACAAGTTAGCCTGCCAGTTTTATGAATGCTGACAAGATTCCTGGGTCAGAAACAAAGGGCTTTATTTCTCAAAAATAAAGGCTTTATTTCAACAAAATCAGTTCAGTACCTGAGTGCCAAATTCATTTGCCTCAGTTCCCTATGCCCCGCACGGCCCACATGGCGACACAAAGGGTCCATGATGGCTGTCGGCACACGTGGTGGGTTGCTTTACAGGAGAGGACCTGTCACTGAGCATAGAGAATCTACTGCTTTATAGTAAAGTGGAAACAAGCCTTCTCTTTGGGCAGAAACATTGCTTCATCTCTCAAGGTTGCTCACGGCCAACACGACCCTGAGAAATGACTAGGAAAGGAGGGTCCATGTCTTGCATTCTTGGCATACCCATCAGGAACATGCAGACCCATGGTGATTGCCTTTCCCAAGTGACAACATAGATTAAGCCTGTATAGGTTTATTAGTCACAGGATTTTGCCCCTTTGCAATATTTAACTTTTTTCTGATTTCTTAACAAAATTCTTAACTACTGATATTTTTGCTCTAAAACAGACTAGTCAGAGTGCAGCACAGTATTGAAATGCAAAATTATTTTCCGCTATTACTAATATCTCTAATAATAAAAGAGTTAAATGCTATTTAGACTAGATGTCCTTCCAGACAAAGCCACAGTGGGTGGGGCCACCGTGGTAGAGGCCCTTGCAGAGTTTTGTGCATTGGGCCTCTAGTAGTTTTACAATTTTTTGGACCTTTTAATCTCACTGGCAACAGGATTGATGGACTGAAAAAGGTGGAACTGATTCCTGGGTTTGAAAGAAAGCATATCTGAACTAATATATCCAGTGCAATTCAGACTTGCTCCAGCTTCTCTGTTACCTTGCTGAGTTTTTCTTGCAAGCATGTCAAACTCGTGGCCGGCGGGTTTAAATGAGGCATGAGGCCCACTGGCCATGGGTTTGACTGGCCATGAGCTTGGTAAGACTCCTGGTTCCAGCTCCTATTTCAGGAGTAAGTTGCTTGTTAGCATGTAAATGACTATGATATTTTTTTCCTGGCCTCCTTGTAGACTTCAGTGGTTCTCATAACTTGTCAAGTCCTAATCTTTAGTGTAAAAAGGACATCTGGATCCTGAGACATGTAAATGCACAAATTTATGTATAGAGTTAAAAATTATGGCATGTTTTCCTTTGTATTATTTTGTCAGCTACAATTAAGCTGTAAGGAAATGTTATTTTCAAAATGTTTTGCTTATAGCTCCCAAGTTTTTTGCTTTTGATAGAACTTGAGAAGAAATACATAATATTAGATGTTTTTAAAAATATACACGAAGGATTTCATGGAAATGTATTATTAACATGTAATACTAAATTAAATAAATATTTTTTTCTAGTAATCAAGCTAATATAGAACTAACCGAAGATAAACATGAGAATGAGTCAAAATTTGAACTGGCAGGTAATTTCATTGGTTTTAAAATTTACAGTATTTGAAAAGATAATATAGCTTTTAATAAAGATATTGCTAAGAAAAAAATAACTAAAGGGAAATCATATTGTCTTGGAAAGAGCTTCGAACAGGTAGAGCGAATTGCTTGTGTTGTAACCTGAGCCACCGGGAAGTTGTTAAAAGTCCACCGCTGCCTTATTTGTTGGGAGTGGGCTGTGGACCAGTTGGGAAGACAGAAAAAAGGAGTTTTGTGCTAGGAGCAGGGAACCTGTGGAGCCAAGACAAATACCTTTAAAACTTGATTGTGGCAGTACATCTTTTTCCATCTATTGACTTTTAATGTATCTGTGTTTTAAAGTGATTTTCTTATAGATACCATATAGCTGGGTTTTGCTTTTTTTATCCAATTTGACAATCTCTGACTTTTAATTCAAGTGTCTTTACACTTTATAAAAATATATTTCTTGGATTGATTACGGTATTGCTGTTTGTTTTTGTATCTTTCCATCTTTTTGTTTATTTGGGGTTTTTTTTGTCTTGCATTTTGTTGGATTGAGTATTTATAGTATTCCATTAGCCCTTCTTTTGGCTGGTTATACCTCTTTGCTGTATTTTTTGTGTTAATTGCCCTAAGATTCACAATATGCAGCTTTATCTTATTAGAGTCTACTTTCAAACAATATTTTACAATTGCTGACAGTTCTGTAGCTGATAGTAGTAGAACTAGGTAGTGAGTCCAAGACTACTGGCTCCTGGTTGCGCTCTTAAGTGTTATATTACTTGCACTGTTTCTTATACTACCTGTTTGTAATCCCATAAACACTACATTCCCTTCCATTGATTGGAAGTAGTTCCCAAATCCCAAGTAGTTGTCTAAGTTCATTGTCATAACCTCCCATGTCTCCCCCCTCCTTGTACATCATCTCTTTTTAAACAAATTTAATCTCTTAGGTTACTTAAAATTTAGTGCTTCCTACCTAGAATATTAGAATCTTCATCATTTTCATATTGGTCCTAGAACCTAGAACAATGTCTAATACAAAGTAATTTCTCAATAACTGTGAATTTAATTGTGTCTACTGATATTTAAAAATCTCACTGTTTTTTTCTCAAATGGTGGAGAAACAAAGGTGAGCTTCTCAACTTCCAGATATAGATGCTAACCAGGTAACCTAGCTTATCTGTCTAGGTTATAATACCATGCTGTTCCAACCTCCTCTTCCTTATGAACTAAAGTGGAAATGTTTCTGTAGGCAGATCTCAGTGGAAGCATCTCTGTTTAATTTCCAAGCCCTCCCAAGTTTATTCCCACACTTCTATTTATAGCTACATTTAAGTTGTCTCCTCCTTTCTAAAAGAAGACTGAAGGACAGTCTTTCCAAAAGCAGATTCTAGTACCTCATGCAGTCTTTCTCCCATCAGGCCACCCTGTTTCTGAATGTGATCTATCTTTTGAACTATAAGTAAGATTGCATTTTCTTCTAGAATGGTTGATTCCACCCTGTAAAGGTTATTACGCTTTACAGCCTGTAGGTCTCAGTCAATTCTTCATAAGAGCTATAAACAAGTTACAAATTGTTGAATAGATCCTGGCCAAATCATCCCTGCCTTGTCTTCTCAATAAATAGTCTGATGGATTCATGTTAACATGGACACACCCTTCCCATCTGCTGCAAAGTCATTGAGATATAATTTGGGCCTTTAGCTGAGAAGTGCCCAGTCTTGGGAAACAGTGAAGGTCATATAGGCCAATATTTCCTCAGGGAAGTATCAGAGATAGACCTCTCATGAGTAGCATTTAAAGCTTATAGTAGAGATACCTACAGATACCAAAAAAATCAATCAACTTAAAAAATGAGTAGCCCTAGCCTGTGTGGCTTAGTTGGTTGCACATAGTCCCATGCACCAACCCAAGCAGGGCACATGCCTGGGTTGTGGGTTCGATCCCTGGTAGGGGGCACATAGTTGCCAGCTGATCGATGTTTCTCACATCGATGTTTCTCTCTCTCCCCCTTCCTCTCTCGAAAATCAATTTAAAAGACATTTTTTTTTAAAAAGCAAAGGCCATCCTTTTATGAGTCAACATTTTACAAAAGTGCTGGCTTTTATAAGTAAGCAATTTGAGATTTTTGTCTTTAAAAAACAAATATTAAAATTTGTTTTAAAGATGATATAAAATCTTTTGGGTAGCTCTAGATATTTTTAGTCAGTTAACACTATCAAAGATTAAAAATAAAAGTACTTGAAAGGACAAAAAATGGAATAAAATTAAGACAGTCTTAAGAATTGAATTATTAAATCTTTGCAAAAAAATCTGTTAATTTATATTTATGTTAATATTTCAATAAATTATTCTTATTTGGAATTCTTCCTTTTGAAATCAGTCATTTCCTAGAAATTGATTTTTTTATGTGATCCTTATATTTTTAAAAATTATTTTCTTCAGAAAATTACAGTGATGATTTTGAAGATGAGGAGGATATTGATGGACCTTTGACTACTAAAGATGAAGAGACAAATTCCAAAGAAAATTCCAAATCAGAAAAAATAAATGTGCCCAAACAGGTACATATCAATTATCTATTTGACAATTTTGAAACTTCTTTTATCACTTTAGCTGTTATTATTTGGAGAGTTCGAAATATGGAGTTCTTTATAGTCTTTTTTTGTTTGTTTGTTGTTTGTTTTTTTGTTGTTACATGATTCTACCAGTTAAATCTTTAATAAAATTCCATCAAAGATTATGTCATATTATATGCCATGATTAGCTTTCTACAAACAACTTTGCTTTCTGTGTACAAATCAGTGTCAATGAAATAAAAAATAAAACTATACTAGGCAGAGAACTTTATTAACCTGTTTCAAACTTTATTCCCAAGCTTCTTCAGCTTAATTAGCTGCAAAGAATGATTTATGTATAAGCAAAAACTGAAAAGACCTGCTATGTCCAGGGGCGTTGGGCTAAAAAATATTAGAGATCTAGATTTTATCAGATCCATAAACAAAATTTGAAAAAGCAGTCATAATATAAAATACCAGCTCCCAGAAACTTCAAGTTTATCTTCTTCAGAAGTTGACTCAGTTCAGTTTGCTTCATTCTTGGAAGCCTCATCGAACTTCTCCACAAGATCTGGAACTTCATCATCCTCATCCTCTCCAGTAGCAATGGCGCGTTTCCATCCACAGATTGTTTGGGCAGAGCTTCAGCCAGTCTCCTTAAACTGGTCAGACTGCCTGCACCAAGCTGGTTTGAGATGCTAATAGCATTTCTGTCAGCTGCTTTGTCTCAGCATGGCCTGTAATGGTGAAAGTGTTCGCTGCCAGAGATGCCTGAACTTTAGGGTTGTTAAAGTGGATCACTGTTCCTTAGTTCGTAAACATATTTACCTCTTCAATACCAGAGATACTGTTTACCCCTAACTTCTTTAAGGAGAACTGAAGTTTTTTATCATCTGCTGTATCTGTTCTGTGAACCACCTTCTTTCTACAAGCAGTTCCTTTCCCACCAATGCGCACTTGTGCCTGCAGTTTGGCGAGTTTCTCTTGGTTCATGATAGTTTCTTTCATCTTGTTGGAGAGGTGGGGGACTAGGGCTGATGCTCAGGGGTTTTAGGGCAGACCAGCTGAGAAGAAGCACACACACACGGGGATGCAAGATCAGTTCTTTATAGTCTTGCTTATTGTTGTAAAGTTATAGGTCTCTTAACATACAGACATTTCCTTAACTCAGGATGTCAGTGTGGTGTAAATCTTAATGAAATATCATGGCAGTTGGTAATATTCTTAAGGATATCTTTTGGCAAGTAATTTCCTTAACTTAAGCTTTAGAAGTTGAAAACTTAATTAAAATCTCAAGTCTAATTTTAAGCAGACATAATAAATTACACTTTTCTTTGGTAGGTCTTGTCCTTGTGAATACAATAAATACCCCCCTCCTTAGGATTTATGCTAGTAGTAACATTAGTGTCTGAGATCATAGATTATTCTCTTCACATTCAACATTGCTGTACTGTCTCATTTTTCAGTTCTTAACCTAGTTAAGGGCACTACAGCATATTGCCTATCTGATATAACATACTTGAACTATCTAATAGTAACCGGTAGGACAATTATTATTATGTTGGTCTTGATCTGAACACAGTCTCTTTTGGGACTACGTGTTAGGACTATATGTTTAGAACATGTGTGAAGCCATAAACTATCTAAAGAGAAGTAAGGAACACTTTGGGGTGTTAATAAATATTATTTTCTTAAGAAAATTATCTTACTCTAACCTAGTAATTTGCCTTTGGGTGTCTGTATCATGTAGCTTGGGTGGAAAAACCCAGGTGACCTTAGAAATACCCCCAAATTAAAGAATTCTGATGAGTATCCTTAGAAATGTAATGGGGTTTATACTTGGAATATGGCAATTATAATATTTTATGAAAAATAAATAGATCAGTAGAAGGCACAGTGGTGTGCTATATTAAGGAAGGGTAGCCTGCATTAAAATGTGTTAACCTAAATGTGGAAACCTAGGAGAGAGTTGTCTGGGTAAGGATCAAAATAGGAAGGAGCCCTAACTGGTTTGGCTCAGTGGATAGAGTGTCAGCCTGCGGACTCAAGGGTCCCAGGTTCAATTCCGGTCAGGGACATGTACCTTGGTTGCGGGCACATACCCAGTGGGGAGTGTGCTGGAGGCAGCTGATCGATGTTTCTCTCTCATTGATGTTTCAAACTCTCTGTCCCTTTCCCTTCCTCTCTGTAAAAAATCAATAAAATATATTTTTAAAAAATAGGAAGATAATAAAGCTCTGTTATAACAAGACTAGAGGCCCGGTGCATGAATTCATACACTGGTGGAGTCTGGCCAGCCCGCCCTGATGGGGGCCGATTGGGGCGGGCCGGTGGGGGGGAGAGGCTGTGAGCGGTTGTCTGGCTGGCCCCGTCCACAATGGGGTGGGGGGTTGATCGGGGGCGGAGCAGGCCAGGGGGAGGGGCCGTGGGAGGTTAGGGGGGCCCATAGGGCCCCAATGGGGCTGGTTGGCTGCTGCAGTGCCCATCATAGTGACTGGTTGTTCTGGTCGTTCCATCATTCTGGTTGCTTGGCTTTTATCTATACTAATAAAAGCGTAATATGCTAATAAGACCAGATGTCCTTCTGGACAACCTTCTGGATGAAGCCGGGGCTGTGAGGGAAGCCCCGGTCCTGGGTGCCTGTCGGTTGCCAGAGGAAAGCCTGGGTCCTGGGTGTCTGCTGGTGGCTGGAAGGAAGCCCGGGTGTCGGCAGCTAGAGGGAAGCCGGTGCCGGCAGCCCGGAGGAAGGACGGCTTACTCTTGCATGAATTTCATGCATCAGGCCTCTAGTATATATAGATAATCCTACATACTGCCTATCCGAGTGAAGAATATAGGTGACACTAATTAGAAAACTTATTCTAAGGGAACCTATAATATTGATGAATATCAATTATGTTACCATTTGGTGGCCTACCTTTTTGAAAATTTTCTCTCAAAATGTAGATGAAACCATGAGTACAAGTTATATTTAATAATTAATTCTTAACATTCTTAACAATAATGGGGAAATGCTGATGTTATAATAGAAAGAATCTTATATGAGGTATTCATGTTATCCTGGAGTTAAAAAAAGAATTTCTGAGCAAAGTGGATGAGCAGAGGGCATCTGGATACTTTAAACAAGGCTTTTATAAATTAACTAGAGGCCCAGTGCACAAAAATTTGTACACTGGCGGGGGAGGGGTGTGGGGAGGTGACCCTCAGCCCCACTTGTGCCCTCTCACAGTCTGGGACCCCTTGGGAGATAACCACCTGCTGGCTTAGGCCCGCTCCCCGGGTGGCAGATGGCAGGCCCCATCCCTCAGGTCGGGTCGCACAGGGGACGCCCGGGCAGCCGGCCGATCGCTGCTGCCCCGCCTGGCCGCCCCGGGTCGGGTCACACACAGACGCCCACCTCCCCGGGTCGCAGATAGCAGGCCCGGATGGTGGCAGGGCAGGCGGGATGGCGCTGTCCCGCCCAAATGCCCCGGGTCGCAAATAGCAGGCCCAGATGGCGGTGGGGCAGGTGGGATGGCGCTGTCCCGCCCTGCCTGCAGTATGCAAATTAGCCGCCATCTTTGTTGGCGGTTAATTTGAATATTGCACTGATTAGCCGATGGGAGGCGTAGCGAAGGTACGGTCAATTACCATGTTTGTCTGTTATTAGATAGGATTACTGGTAATTGCCAAGATACTGAAGAAACTTCTGTAAGTTCTCTCATAGCTACACTCTCTAGAATTATCATTTGATTGAGGGTGATAAACCTAGAAAGAACATTTCCTGATATTTTCATAATGGAGTAGAGCGCTGGCTTTCATATTTTGTTACTATTTCCATTATCATTTTACATAATGCTGGTTTTAAATGATACAATTCTTTTCTACCTTTAATTTAGGAAGAAGAGAAAACTGGCATGCTGGCCAATGGTAAATATTGTGTATACTTACGTTTTAGTTGGCAAAAAATTGTTCAGCATTTCATCTAAATAATTCTGAACAAACCACTATTTGTACTTGTTTTTTAATATCTCCAATGAATTAACGTTCACAGATTGTCTCAATAATATGTCTCTTCTGCCTATCTTGAATCCTTGTTATATTTAAGAAAATTTCTTTTTTATAGAAGCCCAGGACTGTATAGCTTCATTGCTATATTCTACCAAATGTTCAAAGAATCAATACCAATTTTTAAAAAATCTTTCAAAGAACAGAAAGGAATACTTTGAAATTCATTTTATGACACCGAGATCACGTTGATACCAAAATCAGAGAAACATCATGAAAAGAAAATATTTCCGTTTAAAATAACATTCAAAAGAATAAAACACTTAAGAATAAATTTAACCAAGGAAGTAATAAATATGTACACTGAAAACTACAAAATATCGAAGAAATTGAAGCAGACACAGTAAATGGAAATTTATTACATGTACATGATTAGAAGACTTAGTATTGTTTTAATGTCCACACTACCCAAAGTGAACTACAAATAGAGTACAGTCCCTATCAAAATTCCAATGATATTTTTCAAAAACAATCTTAAAATTCATTTGGGACCACAAAAAATCCAAATAGCCAACTCAGTCTTGCGAAAGAACAAAAGTGGAGGAATCACATTTCCTTCTATTTAACATTTAAAACTGTTAAAGAGCTGTAGTAATCAGAACAGTATGCTATTAGTATTAAAAACACACATAAGTCATTCGAACAGGATAGAGTGTCCAGAAATAGACCTATGTATAAATGGTCAATTTTTGACCAAGAAGACACAGGAAAGAATAGTCGCTCCAATAAATGGCATTTGGAAAACAGCCACATACAGAAGATAAAACTGGACCCCTATCCACAACATGTACAAAAATCAATTTGAAATGGATTAAATACTTAAATAATATATATATTTTTTATATTTAGCCTTGAAAAAAAAGTAAATTCTGCCATTTGAATAACATGGATGAACATGGAGGACATTTAGTTAAGTGAAGTAAGGCAGACACAGAAACACAAATACTACATGATCTCATATGTGGAATCTAAAAATGCCAAAATCATAGGGAGGATAGAATAATGGTTACCAGGCGCTGGAAGAGCAGGATATAGGAAGATGTTGGATAAGGGGTGCAAACTTTTAGGTAATGCAAGATAAAAAGTTCAGGAGATTAGTGTGTAACTGTAGTTAACAGTAGTGTATTATGTACTTGAAATTTGCTAAGAGGGGAGATCTCAAGTGTTCTCACCACATATAACAGCTAAATAACTACGCAAGGTGGTGGATGTTAATTTGCTTCCTTGTAAATATTTCATAAAGTATAAATATATCACATTGTCAAGTGTCAGATATACCTCAACAAAGTTGGGGTATTTTATTTTTCTCAGGCCCTTTACCTTCCACATATAAATGTACATTAGGCCTGTATGTAAGCATAGGTATGTATGTTAATGTAAACTTACTATTATACATAAGGAGAAAACCATGCTTGCTTATAATAGATACATGATTATATATTCTTTATGTGTAAATATCTTTGTTTTTATATGGATTGCCTATGATTAAAATACTTCCTTAAAGGGACCATACAAATTTCTCTATATTCCTAATAACTTTTTTTGTATATTGTTCCAGTGGTGCTGCTTGATTCATTCGATTCTGTTGCAGAGGTCAACCTTGATGAACAAGATAAAGCAACTACTATGCCAAAGGTTCTGCCTGAAATAACTGACAATGAAATGATAGGAACAGGTAAAAATGTTTGAAAACTCAGTATTTTCTAAATGTGTAATATTTTATGACTAATTGACTTCATTTATACATAATACATAATAACTATATAATAACTGTCTATATATATAAAAGCCTAAGTGACCATTACGACCAAATGACCAGAACAACCAGTCGACCAGTCGCTATAACGTGCACGACCACCAGGGGACAGACGCTCAATGCAGGAGCTGCCCCCTGGTGGTCAGTGCACTCCCACAGCCAACCTTCCGTGGCCCCTCATCCCCCAGACGGACAACTTCCCAGGGTCTGTCTCCCTCTCCCCTGGCTGGCTGGCCCGCTGATAGGCCTCTATCGCCAGCCAGGCCAAGGGACCCCTACCCGTGCATGAATTCATGCACCAGGCCTCTAGTATTGACAATAAGATTTTAAATCTCATATTTTCTACCATATTAAACAACTTCAGTAATCTGAACTTGCTAATGGTGACACCTAATGCTAGTCAGCCAAATAAAATATGTTTTTAAGTAAATGCTTATTAATAAGTGAGTGCTGTTGATACAATGTGTAGCACAGTGGGTAAATACTAACTTTTTTGTCCCTGTCCAGAGTATTCAGTTAAATTTGCCATGTATAGGAGAAATAAAACTTCAGTGTTATTGTGTTTTTCTATAGTTCCCTTTGTGTAGGAAAAAGCTGGATCACATCCCAAAATTTGAGATGCCTAGGACCATCTAGACTTTACTTAAGTTTGGAAAGATCTTTAGGACATTGTCTTTGTAAACTTGTTTAAAGCAGTGGAATCCTATCTCCAAATGAAATCTTATGTATACTCTATGTAGATAAAAATGGTATTTTGTCAGCATAAACATAAATGTTTACATTTATAACATTTACAAGTAAAGATAAAACAAAATGGTCCTTTGAAACTTTTGAAATCATAAGTTTGTAGATATTTGTTATATTTTCATATCACCATCAGACTTAATATGTTAGTATATTTTGTTTTTGTTGTATAATGCAAAAATATTCTTGACTTACTATATAAATAGTTACAAATGGGAACTTTTTAATCAGCTTGCTTTTCAAGACTCAGTTGACCAGTATGGTCAAGTAAACCAATCTAAACACTTGGAAAACAAGAGCAATAGAATTGATAAATCACTAACCAACTCCAAATATCTACTTGAATTTTATTTTTAATTCTTTTCTTCCTTAATAGAAATATAGTATATCTATAAGAATGTATAATATACCTACTAGTATAACATCCTATATAATAAAAGCCTAATATGCTAAGTGTCCTGTTGACCAGTTGGCCATTCAACCAATCAAAGCATAATATGCTAATGATATGCTAAGGCTGCTCAATCACTCGCTATGACGTGCACTGACCACCAGGGGGCAGACATTCTGACCAGTAGGTTAGCTTGCTGCTGGGGTCTGCCCAACTGGGACTGAGCGAGATGGGCCAGACATGCCGTGGAGCCCTCCCACGGTCCCTCCCTGGCTGGCCAACCACCCGCGTCCCTCCCCGGCCCCAGTCATGCATCAGTGGGGTCCTGTGGCCTGGCCTGCATTCCCTCGCAATCCGGCACCCCTCGGGGGAATGTTGAAGAGCCAGTTTTGGCCCGATCCCGCAGGGCAGGCTGAGGGACCCCACTGGTGCACGAATTCGTGCACTGGGCCTCTAGTGTGTCATAATAGTGCAACTTCATGAATTTTCAAATACTGAAACACCCATGTAATCAGCAACCAGATCACGACCCAAACTACAAAGTCTACTCAGACTTCTTTTTTCTAGTCACTGCCATCTAAGAGTCACCACTATTTTGACTTGTTTCACCCATTTCCATTTTAAAATATATAAAAGTCAAAAGCTACAACAGAATTTTCCCATCAAGACAAGTTACTCATTTACTTGTTATTACCTGAGTATTCTGCTATGACGAAAGCATGTTCCTCAGTCTTACTGCTGTTTATTTAAGTTCATTTCACTTATGTGCTGTGATAGTAGATCCACTTGCAGAGTTTTCAGTAAGCAGACATGAATTCTTTTAAAAGACCAGTGTAGAGCTATAGTTTTTCTAATCAGTGATACATTATAGGGCAGTGACGGAGAAACTTTTGAGCTCGGCATGTCAGCATTTTGAAAAACCCTAACTTAACTCTGGTGCCGTGTCACATATAGAAATTTTTTGATTTTTGCAACCATAGTAAAACAAAGATTTATATTTTTGATATTTATTTTATATATTTAAATGCCATTTAACAAAGAAAAATCAACCAAAACAATGAGTTCTTGTGTCAGAGGTGTCATAGGTTCGCCATCACTGTTATAGGGTCATGTATGTACAGTATGGCCAGAGAAACTTGGTTCTAAGATATGCATGAAAACAAAGCAAGAGGCAAAGTTCTGACTCTGATGGTCTTCACAGTACTACAGTTACATAAGTGGCACATTTGAATGTTTAGATTAGCTTCCTGTACAATTTTTAAGTTTTAAAGCACATTTAAAAATGAAATTTCAACCAAACATCTGTGGAACACATGATTTTCCCTGAAATACCATGATTTTATAAAATACAATATGAAAACCACTGCTGTAGGTTATTAAAAACCTCAAAAATAAAAAAATGTATTGCTAAAAGTAAAAATTCTTTTGAGATGATCCAAGCAGTTATATAAAGCTGTAGTTTTTTGGTATTATTTCTTTTTTTAAAATATATTTTATTGATATTTTACAGTAAGGAAGGGAGAGGGATAGAGAGTTAGAAACATCGATGAGAGAGAAATATCGATCAGCTGCCTCCTGCACACCCCCTACGGGGGATGTGCCTGCAACCAAGGTACATGCCCTTGACCGGAATCAAACCTGGGACCCTTCAGTCCGCAGGCCGATGCTCTATCCACTGAGCCAAACCGGTTAGGGCTTTGGTATTATTTCTTAAGTATTCTAGTCTCTGAAATATTTTGATGAGTCAGTTTCTGGAATATAGTAGAGTATGACTTTATTGTCATGTACACTTTGATTCTTATTCTCATCCTTGCCAATTATCTCCTGGTTGACACTGGACAATTAATGCTCCTAAGCCTGTTTTTCTTTAAAATTAGGCCTTGTGATGGTCAGTTGTAATAACGTATGTTGCATAGTACATTGTTAAGATTCAACAAGCAATAGCAACTCTGTGGTTGTTGTTATTATAATTTATATCAACTGTTGGTTAATAGTACAAGTTATAATAAAGAACCTGAAAGCATTATAGTATAAATCTGATTAGCTGTGAGCTATTGAATTTACCTGGTACTTCAGAAATACACTTGAAATCTTCAAATCAGTATCTGAACTTGGGTTAAGAACTGAAAAGATCAGTGGAGTTTCTGTTTTTGTTTGTTTTTACCATGATTCTTCTAGGATTAAGCAGGCTCAGATTAGGTGCAGCATTGTCAAAGATCATCTATTTAAAATAACATTGATGTAATTCTTGTGCTTTATTGAAAAAAATGTTGATATCTATAAAAATGAGTTTTTCCTAACACCAGGCCAGATCTAGCCTTCCATTTGTTTTTTTTTTGTTTTCATTTGTCCCTCAGACAGTACCGTTTTGTGCTATGGCTGCATGACCAGAGCAGTCACAAGGTGACAGTATTGCTCCACAACCTGACACTTGCCTCTGTAACTCAGTGTTTAACCTGTCTCAACTTTCTTAAGTGGAAAAATACAAGCTTTTTATATAAAAATATATAATAGTAATAATATTTAAAATAAGCGACATAGAATACTCTCTTTTTAATGTAAAAGGCAGACTGGTCAGGCCTTTTCTCATAAAGGGCATGAAAAAAGTTAACTTGTATGACTCTGAGATATTTTAATATCACTTGGGTAAAGTTAGGAGAAAAGTATCCCTCCCTGCTCTGTTTCCTGAGCAGCACCTAATACCTCTCTATCCTCTACTTTTAATTTGTAACTTTTAGGTCATTTGTTTTTCTGCACGTTTGCTCTACTGTTGCTTTAAAACTTGAACTTCTTTCTGACACCTCACACCTGATAAATTAGATATGAGCATTCAGTACTGCCGTGCTACTTACCATTGGGGTCATTTCTTTTACATATATCAGCAGATACTTAAGTACTCAGGGTATTTTTGTAGAGGAGAAAAGAAACACCTGTGCCTTTTTTCCTTTCTTCATAAAGATTAATTTTCTCCTTCAGTCATGCTACTCAGTGTGACAGATGGTTAGGGGAAGAGTTAGGTTTACTTAACAGGCAAGATCTTTTTCCTCAAGTCCTATTTAAAAATCTCTGCCACTTGCCACTTAACTGTTCACAATTCTACTCTAAGTATATCTCCTTTTTGTTTTTAATTTTTTAAAATATATTTTTATTGATTTCAGAGATGAAGGGTGAGGGAGAGAGAGAGAGAGAAATATCAGTGATGAGAGAGAATCATTGACCGGCTGCCTCCTGCACATCCCCTACTGAGGATCAAGCCTGCAACCCAGGCATGTGCCCTAGACTGGAATCGAACCCAGGACTCTTTAATTCGCAGGTGAATGCTCTATCCACTGAGCCAAGTCAGCTAGGGCTGTTTTTAATTTCTTAAAGCAAATCTATTATTTATTGGGGGCATGCTTCATTCAAATAGCAGTTGTGACCTGAAGCATTAGAAAGATACCCCACTGTAAGGCATTCTTACAGTCTTTTGTGTGGCATTTGGATGCCTCTTACATTTAAAGTTAAAAATAGCCCCTTAGAGTTGTATACTATGCAAATTACAGTTTATATAGAGGAAGATGAGGTTGCATATACCGGTTTATTTTTAAGCACTAATTAATCAATCATGGGTATCAAAAGAAAAGGAGATGGGTCATCCCATGTCTCTCCTCTTTTTCCACTTTTCTATGACTCTTATTCTTTTCTCTAATTTTTAAAATTCCACTGTTAATATAATGAAAGTTACAAAATGAGTAAGAAAATACTCATAGAAATTTTAGACCATTGTTCTCATTAGGTTCCTGGAATTCTTTTTTTCAGAATTTATTTATCAGTTGGGGGAAGGAGGAGAATGGTAACAGGGAAGGAAGAGTGAACAATGACATCATGTTCTATTTCCGATTACTAGGTGATTAGTGATGCCCTTAGCTAAAATTCTTACCATAATAGGAAATACTGGTAGCAGAACAAATTTTACTTGGGAATATATTAAATTCAGTTGGGGATATGTTAGATGTGACTTACTTACAGAACAATCTAAATGTCTTTATTCAGTAAAAAAAAAAAAAAAAATAGGGACAGCACTGGCTGGTGTGGCTCAGTTGGTTGGGTGTCATCCTGTGCACCAAAAGGTTGCCAGTTGGATTCCCAGTCAGGTTACATGCCTGTGTTGCAGGCTCAATCCCCAGTCAGGGAATGCAGGAGGCAGCCGATCAGTGTTTCACTCTCACATTGATGTTTCTCTCTCCCTCTCCTTTTCTCTCTTTCTGAAAATCATAAAAAACCTTTGTTAAAAAAGGATAACACAGATATGAGCATCATGAGCATATGTGTAATAGATGAAGCTAAGGGTTTTAATGAAAGTTAGGCATAAAGGAAGGGAGGAAGGAGAGAAGGAAGGTAGTTTAAAAAAGAAGGCTAAAGAGAGCCCTGAGATGAGCCATCTATAATCTAATCTAATAAAAGACAAACATGCAAATTGACTGTACCTTTACTACACCTTAAGCCATGCTCACCAGCTAGTCAGAGCAACTATATGCAAAGTAACCCAACCAAGATGGCGGCCGGCAACCATGGAGCTGGAGCTAGCAGGAGGCTTGGGTTGCCCCTGGAGATGGAGGAAGCCAAGCTTTCTGCCCGCCCTGGCCGGCTCTGAGCTCCACTCAAGGCTACAAAGTTTCAATTATAGAAGGTAAATAAATCCCAGAATAAAAGAAAAAAAGGAGAGGCTGGGAGCTTCCGTCGCCGGGGGGCTTGGCCAGCCTGAAAACGGCACTCAGCCCCTCACCCAGACTGGCCAGGCACCCCAGTGGGACCCCCACCCTAAAGGGGGTGTGACCAGCCGGCAAACAGCCATCAGCCCCTCACCCAGCCTGGGCAGGCACCCCAGTGAAGACCCCCACCCTGAAGGGAGTGTGACCAGCCTGCAAACAGCCATCAGCCCCTCACCCAGGCTGGCCAGGCACCCCAGCAAAACCCCCACCCTGATCCGGGACACCCTTCAGGGCAAACCAGCTGGCCCCCACCCGTGCACCAGGCCTCTATCCTATATAATAAAAGGGTAACATGCAAACTGACCCTAACAGCAGCAAGACTGGGAATGACTGGTCACTATGACACACACTGACCACCAGGGGGCAGACGCTCAATGCAGGAGCTGCCCCCTGGTGGTCAGTGCACTCCCACAGGGGGAGCTCTGCTCAGCCACAAGCCAGGCTGACGGCTGCCAGTACAGTGGTGGTGGTGGGAGCCTCTCCCGCCTCCTCAGCAGCACCAAGGATGTCAGACTGCAGCTTAGGCCTGCTCCCCACTGGCAAGTGGACATCCCCCAAGGGCTCCTGGGCTGCCAGAGAGATGTCTGATAGCCAGCTTAGGCCCAATCCCCTGGGGAGCGGGCCTAAGCCAGCAGATGGTCATCCCCCAAGGGGTCCCAGACTGCGAGAGGGCACAGGCCGGGCTGAGGGGCCTCCCCCACCCCTGAGTGCACAAATTTTTGTGCACCAGGCCTCTAGTAATGTATAATAATAAAAGGGGTAATATGCTAATTAGACCAGATTTCATTCCGGACATCCTTCTGGACGAAGCCAGGGCCGGAGGGAAGCCGCCCAGGTTCCGGGTGCCTGCTGGCGGGGCCGGAGCAAAGCCGCCCAGGTCTCGGTGCCTGCCGGTGGCCGGACGAGGGAAGCCCGGGTCCCGGGTGCTGGAGGGAAGCTGGTGCCTGCAGTTGGAGAAGGAAGGCTTACTCTTGCATGAATTTTTGTGCATCAGGCCTCTAGTTTTACCATAAAAGATGGAGAAGTAGCCATTAAAGTGATGGGAAGAACAAGGAGAAGGGATGCAGGACATATCCCAGGAAAAGGACAGTGTCAGATGTCTCACGGAGTTGAGAACTAAAGATGACCGGATTTGGCCATTAGGAAATTGTTTTTCATTATAGCAGCTTTTGCAGGAAGTTGGCACACACTGAATTGCAAACACCCATGTAATTGCAAATTTAGAAGAGTGAATTTCAGTTGAAGAAATGCAAACTACTGCTTGGTGACACAGGAAAGCTGAAAGAGTGGTATTGATAAGGGAAAGACAAAATCCTGAGATGATTGGGCCACTTTGGGAAATTTAGGAATAGTTTTATTCAACTATTTTGAATTAAGGGTAGTGGGACGAGAGGGCAGTTAACTAGTGGAGTCAGATTTTATAGTTACCATGTCAGGACACATCTCAACTTTCTGAAGAGTTAGTGAGCCTGCTGTGATTTATACTGGTAGGCCATTACCTATATATTACCTAATTTTGTACTTACTAATAACTCTGTAATGTCATCGTTGTCCTATGCCTTGTTCACCATTCTTTACAGATTAAGGGATGACATTAGTGTTATATATTTCTCATGTTTTGTGGGATTATACTGGAGATTACATTAATTTTAACAGGTGTTTCTTATGGACAAAGCAATAGTGATATTGAAGCTCTTCATCAGGCTTATTGTCATATAGCCCATTCCTTGGGAAATTCTGATGAACAAAGAATTGAGATTGCTGCCATGGAAAATGTCAAGAGCTCAGAGAGAGGTCATTCTCAAGAAAATGAAGAGTCCTCCAAAAACATCTCTACTACGGAATCTGGTAAAATCTTATTTAAGATCCTCTCTGAACAGTTTCCAATTTAGTGTAATTTAGACACAATTTGCTGTAGTGATTATTTCTCAATCTCTGGATTTATTTAAAGGGTTTGTTCAAATGAAATCTGGAAATCAGTGATTTAACTGTAAAGTTTGAGCTGAACATGGGATAAAATTTCAGTTTCCTTTCTAATCTGCTTTGACCAAATTAAGAAACTACTGAATTGTTTTCACATTTTTTAATCTTTTCCATGAACATATACTAAAGTTATTTTTTAAATAGAGAACAGTAGGGATCAACTAAATACATATTTAGCAAATAAAAGTGTATGTGGCTCTACCCAGATACATATATTTGAGACTTGTATGCCTATGCATTAAATATATAGTTATATATATTTCAAATAATAACTATCAAAGGAAGTTGTCTTGGTACAAGGAAGTTTAGAATGGGTTTCTTGTATGAGTCATTTTGTTAACTATATCAATCAGAGAAAAAGTAATTTTGTTGGTATGAGACATAAAATTAAGCAAATGACCTAACATTTTTGGTTGCTATTTTAACTTTTTTCCCCTCTTAGATCTGCCCACAGTAGAGGAGCTGATGAAAACTATCAAAATAGATTCCTTTGGGATCAGTGGTTTGGATTTACAACCTGTAAGGTATGTGTTTTTTTCATTGGATTGTGCAAGTTATTTGATTGTTTATTGTTTTGTCTCTGGAAAATTGTGGAATCATTTGTTCTATATTATCATTCCTAGTGAATGATTAAAGTGTAACTTGTATGTATCTACCTATGAGCCACTACTCTCTTCTTTTTAAATTACTTTTTACTCAATTAGTTCATCAAAATTCTCCTAGTGCTAAAATAAGAAAATAATAGATAAATGCCATTAAGTAGTCTTAAAGCTTTTTACTGAAAAATATAATTTCTTCAGCTTTAAATAGCTCAGGGACAGTTGATTTTGAATGAAGGGATGGAAAATGAATTTTATTCTGTATACTAGAGGCCCAGTGCATGAGATTCGTGCAGGGGGGTGGTTCCCCTCAGCCCAGCCTGCACCTTCTCCAATCCGGTACTGCTTGCTTCTAACTGCTCACCTGCCTACCTGGTCACTCCTAACTGCCCCTCCCTGCCAGCTTGATCACCCCTCACTGCCTCTGCGTGCTGGCCTGATTGCCCCCAACTGCCCCCCTTGCTGGCCTGGTCATCCCCAACTACACCCCCTCCCACTGGCCTGGTCGCCTCTTACTGCCCCCACTGCTGGCCCGGTCGCCCCCAACTGCCCCCCTCTGCTGGCCTGGTCCTGCAGCCCCCCCTCCCCTGGGGATCGAGCCGCAACCTGAGCATGTGCCCTTGACCAGAATCGAACCTGGGACCCTTCAGTCCGCAGGCCAACGCTCTATCCACCAAGCCAAACTGGTTAGGGCAGCCGTGGGCAAACTACGGCCCGCGGGCCGGATCCGGCCCGTTTGAAATGAATAAAACTAAAAAAAAAAAAAAAGACCGTACCCTTTTATGTAATGATGTTTACTTTGAATTTATATTAGTTCACACAAACACTCCATCCATGCTTTTGTTCCGGCCCTCTGGTCCAGTTTAAGAACCCATTGTGGCCCTCGAGTCAAAAAGTTTGCCCACCCCTGGGTTAGGGCCTCATGGGGTTTTATAAGAAGTAGGACAGGCATCCTTAATCCCCATCATTTAAGTGATGAAACTAGAATAAAGTCACTTCAGTCCTGGAGCTCTCACAACAACTGGATGATGATGATGATAACATCCAGCATTTTTATCATATATTCACTGTGGGCCAAGTACTATGCAAAATTCTTTACATACACTATTTTATTTAATCTTACAGCAACTCCATGAAGTTTATTCCATTATTATCTTCATTTCATAAGTAAGAACACTAAACCTTAAAGGATACACAGGAAGTCCACGTGTTTAACCACTTACATGATCAGATCTGTGATGTCCACGAAATATGTCTGAAAGTCTGTCATCCATTCATTCATTTATGTTTTAATTGACACATTTTGAGTCCCTTGTAATACATCCTCGTCATGGAAATCCACTTGCAGTGATTTCTTGGCCTTGTTTCTACATTTATACTAGTTGAGCAAAAATGATACAGTGAAACTTACACTAAAACCCATCTACTTGCATGCTAAGTCTAGTATTCTTCCACTGATCTTCAGTGCTAGTTATTTTTAAAGGACATATTGTGCTTACTCACCAATACCGTTTGGGGATATGTTAGTGTTACTGAAGAGATTTTCTGTATCTTGTGTCTTTGTTGGCATTTTAGTAATGTGAATTCTAAAATATAGATTATTACATTTGTGTTTAAAAGTCAAAGACAAGTACATTCACCTTAAAGGCATAATAATAATTGTAGAAATGTTAGTAGTATAAACTTTAGTACACATATCCAAAAATTCTTTAGTAAACTATAGGGTACATAATCCTAGTTGCTGTAACAGATAATCCTGGAAATTTTTTAGCTTAGCATCATCAGAATTTATTTCTCGCTCACATCATAATCTCATTGGTGTCAGTGGGGTCAGAGTGGGACTCTGCTACACACAGTCATTTAGGGACTCAGGCCTTTTCTGTCATAAACACATGGTTTTACAGTTATCATGGCCTCATCCAACCAGTTGATAAAGAAAAAGAATGGTGTCGCATACATTTATGCCTCAACACAAAAGTATTACACTGCTTTAGCTCACATTCTATTGATAAGACCTAGCATATTTAGCTAACAAGATCCAAGAGGGCTGGGAAATGTGATTTGCTTGTATACCCAGAGAGAAAAATAAATGAGCTTGATAGGCATCTAGCCAGTCTCAACCAGAATATACCCTTCCAGTAGCCAAATTTCTATTTCACTCTTCTTCATACACAGACCCACTTTGCTCTCTCCCATAGCAGTCAGCTCAGAGTCCCATTCAGGACTGTATCCCTCAAAAAGGCCAGGATTTCCAGGTAAAGTGCAGTCCTTTCCATCAAGTTTGAATGTGGCTCCTGATTGTCTAATAATCAGTGATTTAAAAAGGCAAGTTATAACTGCCTCACTCCTATCATTGATATATATAATGGTGAACTGCAACAAGTACTCCCATTCAGAAAGGAAAATACAGTAATCATTAGCAAATTGAAATCCACTGGAGAGACCTTTTGAAGACACCACCCCCTGACCCCGCACATATGCGCGCGCACACACCTTGCAAATGGGGATTTTCCTTAATTAGGCCATTTGCCATCATTCTGCTCTTAATAAGGAACTACCATCTATACTAATAAAAGGGTAATATGCTAATTAGGGCGGACGTCTTCCGGATGACCTTCCGGACAAAGCCGCAGTGGCTGTGAGGGCTGAGGCTCAGGCAGCCTCAGGTGACTGCAAAGGGCCCAGGCTCAGGCCGGCAGTGGAAGCAGCAGTGGTGTAATGGGGGTAGTGCCTTCCCCTGATCCACCAGGTTGCCTCCTGCAGAGGGAGGCCAGACTGCGGCTTAGGCCAGGAGCCAAGACAGAGGTGGTTGGGGCGATCAGGCCGGGGAGCAAGTTAGGGTTGATCAGGCCAGCAGGGGGGCAAGGTAGGGGTGATCAGGCCCGCAGGCAGAGGCAGTTAGGGGTGATCAGGCAGGCAGGCAGAGGGGTTAGGAGCTAGCGGTCCCGGATTGTGAGAGGGATGTCCGACTCCCAAAGGATCGGGCCTAAACTGGCAGTCAGACAGGGGTCCCAGATTGGAGATGGTGCAGGCCAGGCTGAGGTACCACCCCCCCCCCATGCACGAATTTCATGCACCGGGCCTCTAGTCTACACTAATAAAAGACAAAGATGCAAATTGACCATACCTTTGCTATGCCTTAAGCCATGTCCACCAGCCAATCAGAGCGACCATATGCAAATTAACCCAAACAAGAATGTGGCTGGCAGCCACGGGTCTGGAGCAAGCAGGAGGCTTGGTTGCTCCAATGATGGAGGAAGCCGAGCTTCCCGCCTGCCACGGCTGGCTCTGAGCTTCACTCAAGGCAACAAACTTTCAATTATAGAAGATAAATAAACCCCTGATACCTGCTTTCAGCCGGCCGTGGCCATGAAGCTGGAGCAAGCAGGAGGCTTGGGTTGCCCCTGGAGATGGAGGAAGCCAAGCTTTCTGCCTGCCCTGGCCGGCTCTGAGCTCCACTCAAGGCTACAAAGTTTCAATTATAGAAGGTAAATAAGTCCCAGAATAAAAAGAAAAAAAGGAGAGGCTGGGAGCTTACATCGCCGGGGGGCTTGGCCAGCCTGAAAACGGCACTCAGCCCCTCATCCAGACTGGTCAGGCACCCCAGTGGGGACCCCCCACCCTAAAGGGGGTGTGGCCAGCCTGAAAACAGCCATCAGCCCCTCACCCAGGCTGGCCAAACCTCCATGGGGTGAGGGTCCCCACTGGGTGGGGCTTGACCAGCCTGCAAATAGCCATCAGCCCCTCACCTAGGCTGGCCAGGCACCCCAGCAGGACCCGCACCCTGATCTGGGACACCCTTCAGGACAAACCAGCCGTCCTCCACCCGTGCACCAGGCCTCTGTCCTATATAATAAAAGGGTAATATGCAAATTGACCCTAACAGCAGAACGATTGGGAATGACTGGTCACTATGACACACACTGACCACCAGGGGGCAGATGCTCAATGCAGGAGCTGTCCCCTGGCGGTCAGTGCACTCCCACAGGGGGAGCTCTGCTCAGCCACAAGCCAGGCTGACGGCTGCCAGTACAGTGGTGGTGGTGGGAGCCTCTCCCGCCTTCTCAGCAGCACTAAGGATGTCCGATTGCAGCTTAGGTCTGCTTTCTGCTGGTAAGTGGACTTCCCCCAAGGCTGCGGGGCTGCCAGAGGGATGTCTGACTGCCAGCTTGGTCCCGTTTCCCCAGGGAGTGGGCCTAAGCCAGCAGGTGGATATCCTCCAAGGCGTCCCACACTGCAAGAGGGCATAGGCCGGGCTGAGGGACCCCCCCCCCCCCGAGTGCACAAATTTTTGTGCACCGGGCCTCTAGTTTATAATAATAAAAGCATAATATGCTAATTAGACCAGACAGCCAAAAGACCTTCTGGACGACCTTTCAGGTGAAGCTGGGGCTGGGAGGGCTGAGGCAGCCACAGCAGCTGTGAAGGCCAAGGCAAGCCGTCGTGGATGTGAGGGCCGAGAGCAAGCTGCCGCGACTGCGAGAGCCAAGCCCCTTGCACAAATTTTGTGCATCGGCCTCTAGTCCTATATTATAAAAGCGTAATATGCAAATCAGCCAAACGGTGGAATGACTGGTTGCTATGACGTGCACTGACCACCAGAGGGCAGATGCTCAACGCAGGAGCTGCCCCCTGGTGGTTAGTGTGCTCCAACAGGGGGAGCGTTGCTCAGCCAGAAGCTGAGCTCACAATATCCGTATTCTTGGAGTCCACATAATATGCTGATCATTAACAACATTTATAAATTTTAAGGGATATTTTCTGTATTATTTAAAACAAATGGTCTGAAATGTTAGATTGCATTTAACTGTTTTAAACCACAGAAATGACTTTATTTCAAAATCCTCGTGACTTTGTTTTACTTTAAAAATTTTCCTATACTGTGATGAAATGTATGCCTTTTAATATTTATATTCTATACCTCATTGGCATAAATTATGATTACTTCTTTAGTTTCTTCTAGACATATATAAAATGCTTTTTCTGCCACAAATGCATGTTGAAATTATAAGGTATAGGTAAACGATATATTATAAAAAGTTCATGTTTTATTTTTTCTTATACAAAAGCAATCTTAGTCTTGTTTGGCTTGGCTTTCCTTTGAAATAGGCCTCAGAGTCATTCATGTATTCCCTTATACTGCATTAACATTATTATTTGAAATTCAAAACTATTATACGATACTATGTGAGTATGTCCTATTGACCAGAATTGTAAATAATGTATTTAATATTAATTACCTAATTTGAATAATTATACATATTAAATATGTATATATATATATAAATTGTGTGTATTAATAAAACTGATATTTGAGGAGTCATAGAGTATGTGTGCTCTGTGTCCTGTTTTGTTTTACAGCTATAAAAAACAGGCTGATAGTAAAGAAACTGAAGTCATAAGTCCCTTAACCCTTAAGATGAAGCCAAATGTGTCTCAAGAGCCACAAAATGTGAACCAATTATTTGACAAAAATGAAGAGAATGTGGTTTTACAAAAGACAACAAATGAAAGTATAGAAAATTGCTGCCCAAGAGTAAATACTACGGAAGAATGTATAGATAAAATGTACCTTGACATTTTGCGGAAAAAACTATCTGTTGCTCCTTCAGTGTTACCTCAGGAAGACAAAATAAAGAAAGTAAGTGTTTATAATTTAAATTAATTTGACATATTGATAAATGAAGTTACATAAAATTATATAAGTGCTCTTGATACATAAGTACTTCTTAAGTTTGTGGGATTGATTACTTACCAACCTCCACATAGATCCTGGATATTTGTGAGCAATATTTATTACAACAGCCTGCAGTCCCCAAATTCAAAGTACCTCTAATGCATTAGCTTTCTTTTAAAGGCCATCTTTTATTTAATTTTTTTTTTTTTAGTAAGTATAGTTCAGCATTTGAGTAGCATAATAGAATAAAGTTTACTCATCATTTTAGTGCTTTTCATTCAATCTTTCCAGTAGTCTGTTCTGCAAAAGTAGGTTAAGTTGGCATTTCATATCAATGCTATCAGAAACCTTTGAGAAACTTGTATATCATTGTTTCTTTTTCCTGTGTCCTTGATCTACTCTGATTTACAGTTTCATGATCCCAATATTTTATTTTATAATTTGGAATTATGTGTTTATCATAAACTATCTCCCATTTTTTGTGTAGAATTAGGCAGTGTATTAAATTTTTTTTTATCTTGAGAAATCTGGAGGAAAAATAAAATTTGTCATTTCAAAATATGTTCTTCTCATCCTCCTCTGTGTTAATTCTCATAATTACACATATTGCTTTCTGGCAGGCTTATTTCGTATTATGTTGCTTTGTTTTACTCCCAACTTTAAAGATGTGCTGCAAAATACTAAAATTCTGATGACTTGGACTTAGGGAATTTTAATGTAGTGGTTTGCCTTCAGCAAACTATGTTATTTAGTAATCACTATGATTTTGCCATCTGTTAACTCTTCATTTTCAACTATAGTTGAAATTCATTTAAGTACTAAAGAGTTTGTACTTGTTATATGCAGACTTTTAGACCTCAACTCAGTTCTGGAGAAGGGGCTGTAATTGCTAAAGAGGTACCATACAAGAAGGCCAGAAGTGCACCTCCTTTAGCTAAAAGAAAACCCCAGAGTGGTGTATACGCGTCAGTTAGGAGCTCGGGCTATGGAAAACCCAGTTCACCATGCAAGACTTCTACTCTTGAAAAGAAAACTTCAAAGGACATGATGAAAAGCAAAAACTTGAGATCCATTCTCACCTCAAATCAAGCCAGGAAAAAAGGTAATCATCATATACTCTTTTCATAATAAAGTTCTGTGTTTATACAGTTGACCCTTGAATGTGAGTGTGAACTTCGCAGGTCCACTTACATGTGAAATTTTTTCACTGTACATGTATTTTCCTTATGATTTTTTAAGAATATTTTTTTTTTTTATTGATTTCAGAGAGGAAGGAAGAGAGAGAGGAGATAGAAACCTTGATGAGAGAGAATCATTGATTGGCTGCCTCCTGCAAGGACCCAACTGGGGATCGAGCTCACAACCCGGGCATGTGCCCTTGACCGGAATCGAATCTGGGACCTTTTAGTTCACAGGCCGACACTCTATCCACTAGCCAAACCGGCTGGGGCTATTATGCTTTTCTTAATAACATTGTTTTCTCTATAGTTTATTGTAAGAATACAGTACGTATTATATATAACATACAAAATATGTGTTGAGTGTTTATGTTATCAGTAAGGCTTCCAGTCAATAATAGTCTACTTGTACTTAAGCTTTTGGGGAGTAAAGTCATGTGAATTTCGACTGCATAGAAGGTTGGCACCTCTAACCCCTGAATTGTTCAAGGGTCACCTGTAGTGTATTATTTTACCTTCCTTGTTCTTTACTTTTCCTGTTTCCTTCTCCCCTTCTATGAACTTTCCTTATTCATAGAAAAGAATTAACTTTAAGATACACATTCCATTTCTGAAAGATTGAATTTATAGAAGGTTTTTCATCATTACTTCTGGGTTTTTCTGAATGATACCCAGAAATATGGGATGTGAATATAAGATAGGAAAGTCAAACCTCCTGATCTGGTTGGCTCTGTAATAGCCAGTGTTTACCAGAGCTATAAATTCAAAATGCGAATGGCTACCTACAAATAAAGGTTGATAGACTGTCTCGACATTAGTTCAGTATAGACTTGGAGAGGCAGGATGTTTTATTTATCACATATTGCATATTTTATACATCACAATGCTTCTTCTTTATTTCCTAATGTAGTCATTTATATTGACAGTTGGAAAGGGTAATTTTCAACTTGGAGCCCATGCAACTATTAAAATAAAGAGCAATGTTCAGGTCACACCAATATTTCTGCTGCCTTTAGACTCCAATGGGAAAAGTAGAACAATAATAGAGCTGGAAACATTTTGACATTTTCTTTGTTGTTAAAATTAAGTAGGTGTCTGATTTCATCATTGTAATATGGTGATAGCTGTCAGAGAACTGTCCTCATTGGAAAAATCATTTCTAGCTTAAAGTATCTTCCCCTGCCTTTCCTTACAACCATCCGTTTCAGGACCACTTCGTACAGGCATATCTCATTTTATTGCGCTTTGCTTTATTGAGCTTCACAGGAGGTATGTTTTTTACACATGGAGGGCAAGACCCTCCACCAACACACAGGTTACAACTCACTTTGTTGTAATACTCGCTTTATTACAGTGGTCTGGAGCCAAACCCACAATATCTCCAAGGAATTCCCATATTTAAATGTTTTTATGCATCAAAGACTCTTCTGTCTTCATGAAAGGAATAGTTGTTCATTATTTAAGTAAAAAATCCAGAAAAGTAAAAAGAAGAAAGCAGTAATTTAGCCAGAAACAACTGGCCCATGCTTCTTACTATGTATGTACTTACAGAGATAGAAACAAGCTTGAATAGTTGGAAGGCAGGAGAGAGGCAGACTTATGGATAAGTGGACAAAACATTTTATAAAAATAAGATCACACTTTACAAGTTCTTTTTAAATAAAATATGAGATTTGGTTTTACTTAAATCTATAAAAAGAAAAAAATTCATTCTAAGAAATACTATATCCTGGAAGATCCCTTTAAGACTCAACCTGTGGGTCGCGACCCCTTTGGTGGTTGAACGACCCTTTCACAGGGGTCGCCTAAGACCATCCTGCATATCAGATATTTACATTACAGTTTATAACAGTAGCAACATTACAGTTATGAAGTAGCAACGAAAATAAATTTATGGTTGAGTCACAACATGAGGAACTGTATTTAAAGGGCCAGAAGGTTGAGAACCACTGCTTTAAGAAAATAGGTTATGAAAACCCCTCAAAGGTTGTCGAAACCATGTTGTTCTTTTTAACTGCATTTTTAAATTGTATACATTACTAGTCTTCCCTTCTATAAAGTAATAACTCTTACATCCCCATTCACACCCTCGTACCCATTTTTTTGTTGGATTAATTTTTCTTGTTGAATATATATTTATTCTCTCCTACATCTATAATTTCCCTCAGCTTTTAAATTTAGATCTTGGTTTTGATTCTTAAAGAGATTGAATGCTTTTCACTAGTCCTTTAGCCATAGCTCCTCTATTTTGGAATTATTTTGATTGGTTTCTTATTTGACTGAATTTTCGTAATCATTGTTTTCTTTCAAGAAGGGCTCATGGGTTCCAAATTCTGTTCATGCTTGAATTTTATATCTAGATACATTTATTTTATGTATAAAGAGAGAAAATACTGTTCGCATATCATTGGAAAATAATTACTTAGCGAAATCAAAATTAAGAACTTAGGGAGAATTCTGGTGTAAAAGCAATGACTGACTACAGCTTGAACAAGATCCACCTGCCACTCTTGGCTGCCCTGTCCTAGGGAGAATCACCAGGCCAGCAAACCACAACCTATTCATTTGCCACATTAATGAGCCTTCAGTGATTTGGAAGGATTAATGTCTGCTTTTCTAATGACTCAAACCATTTTTTACTAAATGCTTTAAGAAATTTCTCCAGAAAACCTAAATCCAACAGTCCAGTTAAACATGATTACTATTCTGTAAGGAAAATCTCTGTATGCCTGGAAAAAAGATTGAAATCTTTGGGTGAGGTACTATTGGTAACTTGTTTCTTCTTTAGACTGTTCTTTATTTTTCACATCTGCTCTTTGCTTAATTGTTTAGATATTCTTACTTAGTGCTGTGAACTTTAAAAAAAATTTTTTTATTCAAAAGTAGCAAAACCTGTATTATCCCGATCCACATTCTCACATTTATTTAGCTCCATTTGTCATGTGATATGAATCTTAGGTCCATTAACCTTCTGTGTCAAATTGAGTAGAATGTTGATTATGGACAACAGTTCTGAGTTTAGTGTTTTATACATCAGCCTTTTTAAGATCCTCATTTATCTTATTGTTATGTAATTGCTCAATTTGACTGAATTTTCATAATCCATTGTTTTTGGATTACACAGTCAACATTGTTTGCATTTGTGGTGTTTTTATCTACTGTCTTCAATATTTAGAAATCTTATCTGAAACAAAACTCAAGCCTGCTGCATTGGGTAAACCAGCTCCCAAAACTGAAAGTTGCCTGGCTACTCCTAAGAAGTCTGAAGACGCTACCGAAACTGGTTCCTGTATTCATTTTCAAAATGTAGGTATTAAATTTCAAAACAATATTCTTTATGTTTTTATGTTCTAAAATCATATTAAAACCAAATTATAAGTAATTAAATATGTGAAACTTCTTTTGCTTCAAGTGTTCACTCTTATTGAACAGGTATTGCTTTTCTTATTTAGCAGAACATTATTAACCTTGTCATTTTATTCTTTGTGGGTTTTGTTTTTTTTTCAAATCACCTGTCTTTGAATCTTATATGTAAATCTATAACAAAGTAATGCTTTTATTTAAAAGGATTCTTCAGGATACCGTGATGGGAGCATGGATACAGAATTAATTTTGTTTAAAAGAGTTCAGGAAGCAGAGGAAAAATGGAAGGGTGCACAAGCCGTAATTGAGCAAATTAAAGTCACATTCTCAGAAAAAGAGAGAGAGTTAGAAAATAAGATGGAAGAACTAAAAAGGCAACAGGAAAAGGAACTCTTCAAATTGAGTCAGGACAATTATATTCTTCAGACCAAGGTACTAGACACATTGTTCTATTCTTTTTTATTGATTAAAAAAGAACTTGTACTCTCTGCTAAATGCATTGGCACCTTTTGTTCCCTCGGGCTGTTTGCTTGATGTATTTGCTGTATAAAACATGAGCATAGTTCCTGAGAGTGCCGACTTACACAAGAGTCTAATTCCAACTCCATTGGGGGGGAATCAAAATACATATATCAGCTCATTCTGATATTTTTCTTCTTTTAGCAGTCCTTTTTAAACTAAATCCCCTAGTTCAGCAGTTGCCAACCTTTCGGACCTCACGGACCACTGGTTGGCGACCGCTGCCTTAGTTCACTGTGACCTTCAAAGAAGACAGTTCAGAAGGAACTGCTCTAGAAGGTCAGAATGAAGAGAATGGCACTCTGTAGCATTTCTGAGTTACTTCCATTTCAGAACCATCAGCACAAAGCGATACTAACGGTTTAACTGTAGTTGGTGTTATGTTTATTCCACCATGGTTATAAAACTGTTATTCCTCACTTCTCACTTCATCATTTCTTTCCCCAAATAAAACAATTTCTGCATTTTCTCAAGTTAAACAGCTTTGGAGAAACAAACAAAAAACAAAGGTGGTTACATGTTGGAGAAACAACTGATCCTGTCACTGAAGAAAAATTGAAGCAAATCCAAAAAGAAATACAAGAACAAGAGACACTTCTTCAAGGATACCAACAGGTATGGTGGTTCTTCAACACATAGTGAGTTCGTTCTGGTGATCCTCTGATTATAAAAACAAGGAATATTAAAATATGTGTGTGCTCATTTAACAGGTAATGGGAATTCTGGCAAATATGAGGAAGTGATAATTTGACTAGTCTGCCCATTTCTCATGGACAGAATTAGAGTGGTTAAGAGCACAAGTTCTAAATTCAAAGAATCTGGTTTTAGACTTAGCTCTACCACCTGCTGTGCAGTCTTGGACAAATGACTTCACTTCTCTAACCCAATTTTCTCATCCGTGAAATGGGGATGATGATAATAGTACCTGTCTCATAAGGCAGCTATAAAATTAAAACAGCACAAACTAACTTCTTAGTGCCTGGGACAGACTAACCAATCAATGAATGTTGCCTATCATTATTCTTAATAGTCATGTTCCTTAAAAACTTTCCTATTTTCTATAAAGCTTTTCAGTAGATAATATTGAATAGTTTATTCAATTGAAAAATGTGAATCAGTTGAGTGAAAAAATTTTGAATTAAATGAGAGAAAATGTGTCCTACAGAAGGCAAATATCCGTGATATGTGATGGAATCTTGGTGATGTTGACCTGACAGTCAACCAGGATAGGTTTAGTAATCTCCAGCATGAGATTTCATCTTAGTCTCTTCCCTCCCCTTCTCCTTCTATCTTACTACCTTTTTCTCTTTTGACAACCATAACTTAAACATTGAGCCTACCAATAACAAGCATTATCATCCAGGGACATCCCAAAAAAAGCATTACCACATCGGAGATTACAACAGTTACTATAAATGAAATAGGTTTGATTTTTAATATATTTTTATTGATTTCAAAGAGAGGAAAGGAGAGGGAGAGAGGGATAGAAACATCATTGATGAGAGAGAATCATTGATCGGCTGCCTCCTGCATGCCCCTCACTGGGGATTGAGCCTGCAACCCGGGCATGTACCCTGACAGGAATCGGACCATGACCTCCTGGTTCATAGGTTAATGTTCAACCACTGAGCCACACCAGGTGGGCAAAATAGGATTGATTTTGTAGGACATATTGCCCTTGAATAAGATGTTTCTGAACCCTTGGCCTGCCATTCTGATCTTACTGTACAGAGCATGGGTTTTTAGGAGGATTTCACAGACCTAAAAGTTTGCCAACCATCCCCTCCGACAATGATAACACAAAATTTATGTTCTTATATATTTATGTACTTTCCTCTGGAGCACAGAGTTGGAATGCGATTATTCCTGCAGTCACTCACCCATTTACTCTTGTGAAATGTAGTATCTCATTCTGACCTTAGGCGCTTTGGCTTTGGAAATCACTGCAACTTTTTTTAAAAAAATAAGCATTTTGGAAAGAATGTTTTCAGATAGATTATCCTTCTATGATAATAAAGAATTTTTAAAAGATTTTGCTTACTCAAAAACTGAAGAAATTTTTAAAAACCTTAAAAATGGTTAAAGTGTATCTGTTATGAGCATATGTACTTATGTAAGTACTACTTTCAACTAAAATGTAATTTTCTATTTATAAAAAGGAAAACGAAAGATTGTATAATCAAGTGAAAGATCTCCAAGAACAAAACAAGAAAAATGAGGAACGAATGTTCAAGGAAAACCAGAGTTTATTCAGTGAGTTAGCTTCCTTAAAGTAAGTCCCTTTTAAGTTCTTAAAATAAAATACTTAGACTATTTCTAAGCACTTTATTGTTATATTAAAAATACATTTAGTTATACTTAGAAATGAAAAACTTCTATACACTGATTTACAGTTTCATAACTTTCATATTTTGAATATTTAACAGATTTTTCTTTTGGTATTAGATGAGAAATACATACTATAAGTATTCAGCATATTTATATTTGAGTTTGGGATCACCTTCAGAAAACTCAACATATAATATTCCTCTTGATCGATCATGAAGCCTGAAATGCTTATGTAATGATAGTAGTAATAATGCCTTTCATAATAATGCAAAACAGAAATCATACAATATCCCTTACTGTCCTAGATCAGGTTCCATATAAGTAGAGTCTTAGATGGAGGTCTTTGTGGAGGTGATTCCTAGGGATAACTCAGGAGAAAAGGATCAAGAGAAGCAAGATGAGGGGTGGGCAGGGGAGGGAAGGTAAGTAAGCGTGTGTTCTCAGCTGAGAGTGCCTTCATTCTGCTCTCACCTGGAAGCTTGGGAGAACAGGTTGCACCACATAGTTGGTCCCCATTTGAAGCAAGAGAGGAAAGCCTTTTGTACCCCAAGCCAGTCTGTCACTGGCCAAGAGGTGCCCAGGAAGCGGTTGAGAGATATCCTCTGGACCAGCGGTCGCCAACCTTTCAGACCTCATGGACCACCGGTTGGCGACCGCCGCTCGGGACCAAGGGGAGGAGTTGCTGTTTACCTGAGGCATTTCTCCGGAGAAGGAGAACCTTGAGTTATCGACCAATACTAACCATGGTGAGCTGATGGAGCACGAGCACCTACTTAGGAAGATATATCAGGTCTTTGGGATGTTACTACATCCAGCTTTCACATACTGAGTGAAAAAGCTGAATCCATACACATGCGCATGCTAGGACACTATCTGCCTTTAGGAGATGACTACCAGTTGTGCATCATTTCACATAAACACCTAACTCAGGACTGCTCTCAGAAGAAGCTTCTGTGGCTGTGCATGTCGTGAATGCTGTGTTTATTCATACTTCCGGCTCCTTTTTTGTTGCTGTGAGATAACCTAGGGCAGTGGTCGGCAAACATCGGCTCACGAGCCACATGTGGCTCTTTGGCCCTATAGCATGGGCCACAAAGTTTCAATCGCACTGTCCGTGCGCGCCCGCACGTGGTATTTTGTGGAAGAACCACACTCAAGGGGCCAGTTTGCCAACCACTGACCTAGGGCAAGCACGTCAAACTTAAAGGCTAACACAGGCCAAATAAACGAGGCATGCGGCCCCCGAGTTTGTCATGCTTGATCTAGGGCAGTGGTTCTCAACCTTCCTAATGCTGCAACCCTTTAATACAATTCCTCATGTTGTGGTGACCCCCAACCATAAAATTATTTTCGTTGCTACTTCATAACTGTAATTTTGCTACTGTTATGAATTGTAAATATCTGATATGCAGGATGTATTTAGGCGACCCCTTTGAAAGGGTCGTTCGACCCCCAAAGGGGTCGAAACCCACAGGTTGAGAACCGCTGATCTAGGGTATAAGAGGCAGGGCTGCTGATAGCTTATACCAGTGGTCGGCGAACTGCGGCTCGCGAGCCACATGCGGCTCTTTGGCCCCTTGAGTGTGGCCATGAAGTTTCAATCACACTGAACGTGCGCGCCCGCACGTGGTATTTTGTGGAAGAGCCACACTCAAGGGGCCACAGTTTGCCGACCACTGGCTTATACTGATCTTTCATGGGAAATAGAAAAAGTGCACCTTCTAATAGACAGACAAAGCTAGAAGGTATAGAGGTTGGCAAGCAAGGCCACTTTTTTGTAAATTAGAAAAACAACAACTCTCCTTTTCACAGGTAAGTGTGACTCCACCCCAAGGGTAATAATCTGCACAGTTCTGATGCATGAAAGCTTTACATCTGCTTTCTTCACAGATATTTCAATAAAGTATTTAAAAATATTAGATCATATACTACCTGGCTATTAAAAGAGAGCTATTCCAGGATCCAAAACTGAAACTCTAAATGAACTTTCATAATGAAATAAACGGTTTATTTTGTACATTAGGGTTAGATCATCATATATGGATTCTTAAACTTCTTATATAATGTCTCTGGAGAAAAAAAAAGCAGACAGAAAAATTGAGCCTAAGGTAAAAATAGTAGACTGTTTGGGTTTGTTAGTTGCCATGTGTATGATTGGCAATTTGTGTTTCTCAGAAAGGAGTCTAGAATGATGTGACGGAGTACACAGCACCACAGGAAATATGCAGCACATCTTTCTGTGACATTGATTTCTTCTTTGAGAATTGAGAGGAAAGAATTTTATAGTTCTATTTTTAGTTATCTTCAGTGACTCACATAGTTCCAGCATCCATTAAAGTTTTTAATTTTTAAAAATTGAAAATTTTGCATTGAAAAGAATACCTTGTAAAAAAATATTTTTACTTTCAAAATAAATCAGAGAACAGATGCAAAGAAATCGTTTCCTGTCTCAGGTAGTTGAAGATTCAGAGCCCACCAGAAACCAGAATTTTACAGATCTGTTAACAGAACTACGCGTGGCACAGGTAAGTAGAATAAGGATTTTGACTATTAACAATAGTAAATATTATTTTAAAAATTAGCATATGTATAAAAATCTTTGTAATTTATGAATGAATAAGATCCTTTTATAAATTTCATACCACTTAAAAATTAAAAAATATCAAAGATTAGCATTTAGCACATACATGTAACCTTAATGTAGAGGAAACAATGTAATTCTGGCTTTATAGATGGCATCCTCTTTATAACAGCCTCTCTTTAGGCATTTATTATATGGATCCATGTTAGAGGCTTAACCTTAGTTAGTGTATGCATACATTATTTCAAACAGATTCCTCATGGAAAATGTACAGCTTAAATAGGAAAATAATTTGAAGATGATTGTTCACCTTAAAAACATAGTTGACTTTTTAAGTGGACTTATAGGGGGCAGAGACTATATCTATAAAGATTTGTGTCTGACATACCTACCACAAACGTAAAATGGAATAGTTACTCCCTATTTTTTCTTTATTTTTATTAATTGTATTGTAATATTATAAAGAAAATGGCCTAGAATTTTATGGAGCAGTATTTATCAATGGGAGACCCTTGGGGCAGGTTAATTCTATTTTAAGCAGAATAATGTCATGTATTACATAATTTTTATAAGTTCTGTCTGCAGTGCACCCACCAATCATTGTAAGAATCAAAACCACTGCCATGTTTTCAAACACTCCCTGTGGGAGGACAGTTAATTCTCCCCATAAGAACCATAGTACTAAACTAAAGAGCCCTTCCACTCTATTTGAAGGATTATGAAAACTAGAAAAATTCCAATTACATATCACATTTTAATCAGAAATTTATTATATAAATTGAGGTTATGGTTACATAGAAATTTAAACATATACCATAATAAAAGCATCACATGCTAATTAGACCAGATGGCCTTCCAGGCAAAGCCGGGGCTGCGAGGGAAGCCAGTGCTGGCAGCCAGGGGAAAGAAGGCCTACTCTTGCACAAGTTTCATGCATCAGGCCTCTAGTAGTTTAGTAATTGATGTTTAACAGGTTTTTGTAGTATATAAAATGCAACTGCAAATATGAATCCATTAGAGAACTTTCTTCAGATGCATGTATGTACAGAATAACTATTAGATAGAGACAAGATACCAGGACATCAGGCGGCTACATCCTTCAGTGAAACAGTGCACTAGGAGAAAATCCACCCACCTTCATAAGGTGGCTGAGATGTTGAGTAAGCTTTTCTGTCTTCACTTGATCTCCAGATAGAGAAGGCGGAAAAGTCTCATCTGCTTGATGCCTGTGCTTTCCTGGTTCTTCAGTGTATATATCATTTCTTCTGCCTTCATTTGTGTTTTAGTTTATGAATTGACATTATCTGCAGGGAATAGTCATGCTCAAACAGCAGAAAAATAAACTGTGGTCCTGAGTCAGTGATGATCCCTAATGTGTTAGAAGAAACAAAGCAAAACAACTCTTAGAGGTATACAGCCTTACCGAGCTCACACAGTATTCCTACAGATAAAATCCCGCTGACAGTGTGCTCACAGTGCAAAAATACAAAACCCAAAGAAGCAATCCACAATGAGCAGGCATGGGACGATTTAATAAACAGCAGGATTAGCACCCCAACAGAATTACTGAATAGACTATAAAATAAATAGCCTTAAAATTATTAAATATACTAAATAAATAAACTATGAGCAAAAAAAGGAAACAGACTAGGCAAATTCAGAGTAAAATAAACAACTTTTGAAATAAAATATCTTCCTGAAAACTAAAAAATAAGTGAGACGTTAAATAATCATATACAACTGTGGAAAAAATAGTAAACTAGATGATATATCTAAAGAACTTAGAATGAGACACAGAAAAATAGAGAAATGGAGATTATCAGAAATATGAGATGTTAGAGTAATATTTTTAAAAGGTAATGGCTGAACATTTTCTAGAAATTATAAAAGAGATGAATTCTCAAATTCAGGAAGCACAGTGAGTCCTACTTAGGACAAATAAGTAAAAATCTATATCTAGGCCCATTATGGTGAAACTACCAAAGGCAGAGAAAACTGTAAAAGAAATTTTAAGAGAAAAAAAAGAAAAGTGTTAGTTTAAGGTAAAAATTCTTTGGGGATTTACTTGTACAAATACCAAAAGGTGGGATGTAAATACACCTTTATTTTTATTCCCTTTGGTATTCTGTGTTTAAATAGTTTTAGAGCAAACATTATTCCTACTGGGATAAATCTGTAATATAATGATATTCATATCAAGTATACTTGTGTACAGTCTAATTTGTATCTTAAAAATACTAATTGGTTTAGTCTTAACATGTGAGTTGGTTCTTTATAAACTATGGATGGATACATAATAACAAAGGTTCTGAGCCCTTTCCTTTTAGTACCCAGGGTGGGGAGGAGAATGAGGCTGACCACAGGTCATTCATTCCATCAGTCTTTATCAAGCACCTGCCAGATGCCAAGCACTCACACTGGCCTTGGAAAAACAATAGATAAAACAGGGTAGGCATGGACCTTGCTCATTAGGAACATATATTCTAGTGGGAAAGACAGATAGTAAGTAAACCAATGAAATAACTGCACAGAGTGGTCGTGGTCAATTCTTTGAAGAAAGTAAATCTATATATGTAAAAGCCTAAGTGACCATCCAACCATCTGACTGGTAGATATGCCGCATACCGACCACCAGGGGGCAGACGCTTAATGCAGAAGCTGCCGAGCAACAGCAACTTTGCAGAGTGCCCTCTCGTACTCCGGGACCCCTCAGGGGGATGTTGGACTGCCAGTTTTGAGCCGAGGGACCTCCCCTGCCAAAGGGACCCTGCTCACTCCACAGACGCCTTTCAAGCCCTGGTGCTGCCCCAGGTGCGGCTGGCTGGGGAGGGACCAAGGGAGGTTGGCTTGAGGGCATGTGCGGTCCATCTTGCCCAGTCCCACTGCCAGCCACCTTCTAATTAATTTCCTTTCAATGTGCACGAATCCGTGCGTCAGGCCTCTAGTGTAGAGAATAATGGTGGGGGGGGTGGGGGAAGGCAGTATCCAATTGGGTGGTTGAGGAGGCACTCTCTGAGAAAGGGATGTCTGAGTTGAGAGCTAAAGAGAAGCAGCAGCTAACTGCAAAGATCAATCCTTCTAGCCACGGGGAAAGCACAAGCCCTAAATAAAAAATGGCTTACCTTCCAGAAGCAGAGGCCTCTGAGGCAGAAGTGGGTGAGTCAGGACGAAAGTGGTGGAAGGTAAGGCCAGAGAGGCAGGCAGAGGCCCTATCTGGATGTCTCCCAGTACAAGGGAGGGGAAGTACTTGGATTGACATGGGCATACTGGCCTTCTTACTGGTGGGAAGTCTCAGTCCCTGGACAGATGCAAGCATAAAATGGACATCCATTTAAGCAGTGATTGCATGTTTGAACTTAAGATGTTTAAAGTTCCTTTGAATTCTAAAATTCTATAATGCTATGAAGTAGACACTACAAGAGAACATTTCTAAATTGGCTGAATTAATTAAACAAAACAAAGGGTATTTGTAGAAAGATACTTGAGCATTCAAAAACTCGTTGCTCTCCTGAAAAGACATCTACAGAAGATGAAACAATGAAATGATTCAGTTAAGTCTGTGATGCAGATAGAAACCAAGATCATATATAAGACTAGATTTTAAATTGTAAGGAAGTATAATTTGTAAGAATTTTTATTTTGAGACTTAACTATATCAAGTGTACTACCATGAGCCCAAGAATTCAATTCCGTGTACATTTATTATCTGCCATGTGCTTAGCCCCATAAAGTAAACAGGTAGTAATAAATCAGTCTGGGTCCCCAGAGAGCTTTCAGCCTAATAAAGAGAAAGGGCATGTACACAAACAGAAAGGAACAAATGCTATACTAGAGGTAGAGTGAAAGTTTGTGGGGGCACAAAGGAGGGAATAATCAGGAATAGTCCCATCTGAACTAAGCTTTGAAGGGGAAGTATCATTTTGTCAAGCAGCAGGATGGGGGCCATTGAGAAGAGTGTGGAATGTAGGGCATATTGAGAATTCATTCCACGTTTGTTTGATGTGCCAAGCATATATCAGGTGGTGATGAGTGTTGTTAGAAGAAAATAAAGCATTATACCTGGGAGCCAGGATGGGGGTTGCTATTTTAGAGAGTGATCAGGGAAGGTCTTCCTGGGGCTTCATTTGAACAGAATTCCTGAAAAGCGAAGGAGCAAGCCACCTGATATCTGGGGGCACAGGAAATAGTAAGTGCAAACACATTGGAGTAGGAGTGTGCTGGGCGTGTTCAAAGAACTAGGAGGTCTCGGGGGAATGGAGTGGGAGGGGACAGATTGTAGTAGGTGCAGTCAGAAATGTGAGCAAGGCTGCTGTATATGTGACATTGAAGGTCATGGTAAGGACTTTGAGTCCTTGGAGGATGGCAGCCAGAGAGTTTCAAACAAAGGAGTGATATTAACTGACTCTCTAAAGCAATCCTCTGGCTGCTGTGAGGAGACTAGACTATGGATGCTGAGAGTGGAAGAGGCAGGTTATTGCAGTATCCAGAAGTTAGAACAGTAGATGAGAAGGTCTTTCAGGCTGTACTGAGTAGATGATTAGAGCTGATTCTAGTAGGCTGTGGGGAGCTATTAATAATTTGGGGTGTGTGTGTGTGATAAAATCAGAGCTAAAATTTAGGAAAAAATAATTAGCAGTATTTGTAATAGATTGTGTGAAAGAAACTATGCTACAATTTATGTTGGTTTAAAAATAATTTGCTTTGGTATTTCTATGAATATCAAGAAAGAAAAAAACAGTTTATTGGAAGACATCAAAAGACTGAAACAAGACAAACAAGCTCTTGAAGTAGACTTGGAAAAAATGAAGAAAGACCGAGACCATGCCAGAGATCAGGTTGCTTATGTCACAGGTAACACTGAGCTAAAAAAGTTCACCTTTATACTCATAGCTGTTTAATCGAGAATTTAAGTAATAGCATTTGGACAGTATAATCAAAATGCTATTCCTTGAAATACGTGTAATGTTAGAAACTTTTTTTTAATTAGTAATAGGTATGAGTATTTGATTGGCTTTATCAGGGATAATGATAAGATCAAAGAAAATCAAGGTCTATTTTTAATTTGCAGCATTAGTTGTTTACATTTATCATCCCAGCTAGATTGTAACCTTTCTGAGGGTCTGGTCTGCCTTTTTATCCCCGGGTCTAAAATAGGCTCTCAGGTATTTGCCAAAGAACAAATAACACTGCACTGTGTTTGTAGAAAACACAAGGATAAATATGGCATTCTCTACCAGGGAAAAGAAGAGAAAGTAAGAGAAGAATGCAAAAAAAAGTTTACTATGAAACAATTACAAATAAGTATGAGTCAGGGTGCTAAGTAAGAGTTTCGGGGAGGTGTGGCATTTGAGCTGGGTCCTGGCAGAGGGTAAGATTCAGAAGTGAAGAACAGGCTGCTGTTCCAGTGTTTCATGAGCATGATGCTGAGTGCACTTGTGGGTTGGATGGCAGAACATAGGGTCAGAAAGGTACATCAGAAGTTCTTGTTTGCCAAAGTAAAGATATTTCCTCTGCAATATTATGATCTCAGTATAAGATATATACAATAAAAGTCACTTACCTGTTTGTAAGGAAATTATACTTATTTTCCTCATCTGTAAGAAGAGAATAAGAATGAAAGCCATCATATAAGTTGTGTTAAAAACATGTATGGTAAGCATCTACTAATTTTTGCTATTGTTACTTTTTAAATAATTATAGGAATACTCTATTATATCTTGAATCCAATATTTATTTTTCCATGGAAACAGGTTTACTTTTTTTAAAATATATTTTTTTAAAAATATATTTTATTGATTTTTTACAGAGAGGAAGGGAGAAGGAGAGGGATAGAAAGTTAGAAACATCGATTCAGCTGCTTCCTGCACACTCTACTGGGGATGTGCCCGCAACCAAGGTACATGCCCTTGAACAGAATCGAACCTGGGACCCTTCAGTCCCCAGGCCGACGCTCTATCCACTTGAGCCAAACCGGTCAGGGCACAAGTTTACTTTTATAATGAAAGTCAGTGGGAAGATAATTGATGTATCAAAAATGTCTACATAGATAACTTTGCTCAGTTTGAGGATTTAAGATTAAGAACAGTTTTCATCTCCCTTTATTAATAAGTTAAATTAGACACTACCTTGCATCTCATCAGTTGTTTTTGCCTCTTATTTTTTCATAATGCTTTCATTAGTTAGGCATTGTTTTTCATTTAAAATCTTTAATTTTCCTATTTTGAAAAAGTAGTTATTGAGTTATTTTATCCTATAGGTGAAAAATTATATGAAATAAAAATTTTAGAAGAAACACATAAACAAGAAATTAGTCGTTTGCAAAAAAGAATACAGTGGTATGTGGAAAATCAGGAACTTCTGGATAAAGATGCAGTTCGACTTAAAGAAGCAAATGAAGAAATTGAGAGGCTCAAACTTGAGGTAATAGATCATTTAGAGTGTATTTCTGTGGGTCCACCCTATTGCATTCAACAGTTTTTCTTAGCCTTATGTCATTAATACTCTAAATCCTTAAAATAACTGGTTTGGGTTTGCTTTTAGATGTGTAGTCTAGTTTAGATTATTCTGCAAATAGATCCAAGCTCCTTATCACGACCTGTCAAGTTCCCACGTGGTCTGCACTCTGCCTGCTCTCCAGCCTCATCCGAGCCACACTTCCACAAACCACTCTCCCTCAGCCACACCACAGCACTCACTGATTCTTGAACATGCCAAGCTCACACCACTTGTTGCCTTCACCTAGATTACTCTGTCCTTGGTTTTCCTTTGTCTCTCCTTGTTCAGGTCGCAGCTCAAATTTCTACTCCCCAGAAAGACCTTTCCTGACCACCTTATCTAATGTAGCTGCCAACCTTGCCCTCTCTGACCCTTTCTTCCCATTCCTCCATTCCTTCACTCTTTTTTTTTTTTCCTTCAAGGCACTTTCTGAGGTTATTTTGGTATTAATTTACTTTATTAGCTTATCAACTCTCTCCTTCCACTAGAGCATAAGCACCAAGAAAGCAGGGACCTGGTTTGGCTTGTGCACCCCCACCTGGCCAGCACAGAGCCATGCCTGGAAATTAATAAACGAATGAATAAACTCCATTGTGCTTTCCTCCTTGTGTTTCCCGGGTGTGTTTTAAATATGCTTCTTTACATGTTTTTACTTATTGATAGGCTGAGAAACTGAAAGCTGAATTTGGAAATCCATCTCTTCAGAAGAAGACACATTTAAAAGATAAAGCAGCTGATGCCAAAAAAATTCAGGACCTAGAGCGACAAGTATGTGTTCAGGGTAAATTTTCATTAAGGTATATGTAGAGTCTATTGTGTTTTTTCTTGTTTCAGTTTCTATAAGATGTAGTAATATAAAACTGTCCCTACTTGATATACATATTTAAAATAATATTAATAAAAATAGTAAACAACATCATTTTATATAATCTATAGTTTATGCATAAAGAGTTAAACTTGTGTGCCTCATTGGATGGTAGACCTATTGAGGACAGGTTATTTTACATCAGCTCTATTAGACATGAAGGAAGAGGAAGCAGAATTTAGAAACTCGGTGTAGAGCTGGGAACATGTTGGTAATGCTGGGAAGCATTACCAGACTCCCTGGAAACAGAACATTCAGCACCCAAAGAGCTGGTGATAATTTTGAGCTCTTACTCATTATTTAGGCTTAAAAATACTCATTTCATAGTTAGTGTAACTGGGGGACCTTTTTCAAAAATCATATAGTGACTTTTATTATGATAAAGATTTTTTTAATTGAAGTAGTTTTGTGGGGTGGAATATTTATTAACGTCTTCCTTCTGTTTTTAAACTTTCTATAATTAGTTTTTTCTATTCATACCTAAATATTAAAATAAGGTATTCCAGCCCTGTTGATGGAGAGCATGAGTCTTCAGTCAAGTAATGACACTTAAATGTATGGCTATTATTCCATCACAAACCCCAAACTGTGAGGTCATCACTAAGCTGAATATTATTTCAGTTTTATGAGAAGAAGGAAAACTAGCAAAAAGTTACCTCTGTTACTTTTATAGGCCCTGTTCTTATATTAAAAGGTATGACTTGGAGTGTGATTCAGTTCCCGGAAAGGAACCACAAAGGTGATCTGAAGAGCTAGAAATATTCTGAAGTAACCAGGATTGCTGGGCTCTTTTTCAGTGCTTAGATTTAGATTAGCCATCCAGATTTGTGAGAGAAACAAAACCAAAGAAAATACCTCTCTAATAGATACATTTATTGTAAAAAGAAATATAGAACTGAAGGTGTGAGAAAAATATTAAGCATGCCTAATAGCAAAATAAGATGTGAAATGGTGATAATGACCAGAAATATGCTTTACAAAAGTAACCTCCCTCTTTTTTAAAAAATCTTTGTTGAAAGTATTACATATGTCCCTTTTTCCCCCCATAACCTTCCTCTTTTATTAACACTTTCATTAAAAATGTATTAGTATCATCTTCGATTTTATCTTTCTAAAATATTGTCATTAGTAGTATTTTGTATAGTTGGCTGCATGTACATTTTAGATCTTATTAATTCTATTCCCATGAACATTTCTATCTTAATGATGTTAAACCTTAATACTTATTTTATAATCAAGGTATATTATATATATTCAGGCTCATTTTAGAGCCATATATTCTGAAATAGCTTAATTACAGAATAATATATCTCCTTTTCTAAATAGCACATAAGTAAAAATGGAGCTAATTAAATGCATATTATAGTGAAAATCAAATTATATGCATTTGTTCATACTTTTATTTAATAGATATTCCAGTGAGAAATTTGTAAAAAATTTTTACTTTGTATGGCAGCCACACTAGTATCAGTGATTAAAGAATAATATTAAAAAGCAAAATTAAAGAAGGTAAAAATATACATTTCAAGATATCAAAATCAGATTGAAAATATTTCTTAAAATTTTAAAGGAATGCATTATTAAATATGTTAAAACAAAAGTTAGATCTTTTCTTTTTAATACATTTGGTGTATATGTATATACCCTTATATGGTTACATCTAATGGAAATGACTAGGTTTTAAATACCAGAGGAAGGAAAGCTTTGACAATTTTGTAGACAAATAAGTTACCAATATTTATCTCTGGATACATCCCAGTTTATGGTACATCTGTGACTGTGCAAGCAGTTTTTATGAACGGAAATATCTGTTGTTAACTTTGCAAATGATGTGACACTTCAATATTCAATTTATAAACAGGATGTTGAACACCAGCAACCCATCTTACCTTAAGGGAGGTAGTTTTTGAGACCAGATCAAAATAAAAGACAGTAATATCAAGCCTCCCTAGATGGTGGGCACTCTCCTAAGCCCGTTACCAAAATAAACGTCATTTGTTCCTCACTTAGTTGTATCAACGCCATGAAATTGGTATTATCATCCCCATTTTGCCAGTGAAGCAGCAGAGGTTTTGAGTTGACACAGGTTATAAAGCTAGAGGCACAGTCTTAACAGCAAATGTGCTGTAGCTGCACAGACTGCCTCTTAGGTGCTATTTATTTATTTGATTGCATACTCAGAGACTGGAAACTGTTAAAAGAATATTGTTTTAGTATATGTTTTCCAAAGATATCTTAACCATAATACCGTTAACAAAAGAAGGCATACACACATATGAATATATAAAATCAAACTCTAATTTCTGTGCACCCTGGTGCCATTCTCTTCTCCAGGAAGACCATATAATATGTTGTTGTTTTTATATGAACATTTTTAAATGAACATTTTTGTCACCTAATTCTTCTTCCTAATTGAAGTCATTTTAAAATAGGTTATACTTCATTTGGAGGGGGTTAGGGTAGGATGGAGATTCTTGCAGGAAGGGGTATGCTTATTGCAATAAGTTTGCACATTCATGAGCATATAAGTAATATTTCAGTCAGTAGACAGCATAACTACCATTAGAGGAGATCTGTAGAAAAAAGGCGGGAAAAGAGCTTTCTTTGTCCTCAAAAAGACTGATTATTAATAGTATAATAGTCCCAAAATCTGTTTCAAATGAATATGAGAGGATTTCTGTAAATTCACCAGTAATTAATTAGATATTATACTGTAAGATTTTTTAATCAATCTAAGGATGTAAAATTTGAAATTAATTTGTGCTTCTGTGCATTCAGTTCAGTCGTGAGATATGATATAAGTATCTCTGAAATCTAGACATAACTGATATAGCATAATCTATATTAAACTGCTTAGTTATATATTTGCAAACTTACATATATACAAAAATATTTTACTAGGTTAAGGAAATGGAAGGAATTCTAAAGAGAAGATATCCTAATTCTTTACCTGCTTTAATATTGGCTGCATCAGCAGCCGGTGATACAGTAGATAGAAACACAGTGGAATTTATGGAAAAAAGAATTAAAAAACTAGAAGCCGATCTGGAGGGCAAAGATGAAGAAGCAAAGAGAAGCCTTCGTACCATGGAACAAGAGTTTCAGAAAATGAAGGTAAGTGCCATAAAGATGGGACTCAGAGATGGACCAGGGCACAGACACTTCTTAGGTCTCATCTTAGCAATAAATAGCTCTAAACATCCTTTCTCACAAAACCTTTACCTTGAGTGTCAGCTGCAAAAGCAACCTAGATTCATCCTACCTTTTTGTCCCCCTTCAGTAACTTATTTCAAACGTGAAATAATCAAGCACAGGATAATCTTTACATGAGCCCCTCTCAGTGATACTAGAGTTAGTGTAAATTAGTCATGAAAAGGCAGAATAAAGCATCTCTGATATATATTCAGTATAAAATATTTTAATTGCTATGCTTGAAAATATTTCCACTGAAATTAGCATGTTCAAAGGCCCATTGCTACAGGGGTCATAGGACATCGGAACTGTTGCCATGTCACTCTCCTCACCAGGCTGTGAACTTTTTGAAATCAAGAACTGAGTTTCTCTATTCCTAGCATCTGGCCCAGTGCTTGGCAAGCAGTGATAGCAAACTAAATATTCATTGAATGAATGAGCAAACACTATCAGTGCCTCTTTCCACAGGGTAAACTATTAAGGTTATTTCATTTATAATAAAAATCTCCAGGATACAAATTTTAACCTAACTTACTTAACTCCATATGAGATTTCTAAATTGCTATTAGGAAGCTGAAAATGTTCTATACCTTAAAGACTTCAGTATCCCCAATCGCTTTTCCTGTTTATCCTCAAAGAGTATATAGTTTGTCAATTTGCATAAAGAAGGGTATACAATAATAGCTTTGATTGTAAGATTTAATATAAGCACTGGGGATACAAAAACATGTGTAAGTTAATGTTTATAAAGCAACATTAATTCTGAAATTGTGTAACATATTTTGAGACTATATAATGTTATGCCCTTCAAAGATTAGGACTTCAATGCATTTGACTCAAGGAACACCGAGTTGGAGGCATCAGTGAGTGCCTGTATAAAAGAATTGGTAGGTCCTGGTAGGATACAGGGCTTCAGTAACTAATGAAATATTTAGCAGTGGTTTGACATTACATGGATTCTTTTCTTCAGATTCAGTATGAACAGAGACTAGAGGAACAGGAGCAGCTGCTTGCCCACAAATTGAAGGCAGCATCCCAGAACCAACATGACAACTCCTCCAGGGTTAAAGCACTGGAGAAAGAACTTCACGACATTAAGGAAGCCCATGAAATCACTGTAAGAAACCTTGAAGCTGAAATAGACACGTTTAAACAACAGAATGCTGAGTTAGAACTCAAGAAAAATAGAGATGATAAAGATTTCCAGTCTATCGAATTCCAGGTGGAACAGGCTCATGCTAAAGCTAAACTGGCAAGACTCAATGAGGAGCTGGCGGCAAAGGGGAGAGAAATACAAGACCTTTCGAAAACTGTGGAGAAGCTTCAGAAGGAGAGAAGAATGATGCTATCCAGTCAGCACTCCAAGGGGAGGGAGGAAATGACTGCAAAAAGGGTAAAGAAGGAAGTTTCGCACGCAGGTAAAGGAAGTGCCAACTCCTTCCCTGGAACCCTGGATGGCAAGCTTTACCAACCACATACTTTCTCTGATTCCCACATTTCAGAGGTTTTGCAAGAAAACTGCAGATTGAAAAATGAACTGGAGAAAGTAATCGTGGAGAGGAATGAGTTGAAGATGAAATCTGACATAGCTATGAACCAGTTTGAGAATTCCATGAAAAGGTAAAATGTGAATTTGTTAATATGTGGAGACAAAAAGATAAGTTATTAAATTATAAGATGTATTTCCTCTAGATAATTAGTTATACCCTGAACTGAATTTTAAGAAATTGTATTACATTGCTTAGCATAGATCTGTTTCATTTTGGAACCAGATTCTGATGAACCTGAATCTCCATGTGAACCCACACCATGTCCTGGGCTGACCAATCTTGTCTTCTTTCTGCAAGAATTCAAATGGTGCTAGTGGGCCTTCTTGCAAATGAATATCATTATTTGTGATTGCCATAGGTAGATTACTGTCAAAAACAGCTATTAGGAAAAAGGGGTGACATTCTAAGAGGACAGGGTCCTTTTTTCCAAAATAACTCGTCCAAATTAATCTTGTGGTCACATCCATTCATCTCTTTCCTCCTCAGAATCTCCAAGTACTATCACTGTCTTTCCTCTGAGGTTTCCAACATGCTCAGATTTTTTCTCCTGATCACACCAAGTTCTGGTCCCCTTTCTGTCTTTCTGTACCGGTTTCCCACAAGTAGCGTCTTCTTTTTTCCCCATGTGGCTCTCATCATTCTTTCAAACCTGGTCTCTCAGTAATGACTTTTCTCAGACCAGTGGGGTTGTCTCCATCCTCGTTGTCCTTGACATTGTCCACTGTACTGCTTTCTTGAGTGGTTCCCTCCCTTAACCTCCATGATTTGGCCACTCTGACTAAAACTTATTTTCTGTTCATTTTAATTGACTCATGACTTCTCTTTATTCTCCCTTCTCAAAAATCAGACTTTCTAAGCCTGACTTGCTGAATTTCTTCACTGCCTTTTGCTTGTTCATGTTTCAAGTCCTGCCTCTTCCACAAAATATTTCCTAGACCTTCCCAGGAAATTGCCTGCCTCTGCCTTTGAGCTCTTATATAATTTATATACCACGAAATACTAATCATAACTCTATCTTGTAGCTCCTTGAGAACTGATTTAGGATTATACTTCTTTTACAACCTGTAAACACAATAGCTTTGAGTGTGAGAGTTAAAATAAGTCTTCAGGTGTACAAAAATGTAATTTAATTTTTTTAACATATATTTTTATTGATTTTTACAGAGAGGAAGGGGGAGGGATAGAGAATCAGAAACATCGATCAGCTGCCTCCTGCACACCCCCAACTGGGGATGTGCCTGCAACCAAGGTACATGCCCTTGACCGGAATCGAACCTGGGACCCTTCAGGCCAACTCGCTATCCACTGAGCCAAACCGGTTAGGGCTAATTTAATGTTTATGAAGCAATATATAAATTATATATTGAATATACAGTTACGCCCTTCGTAGATTAGGATGTCAATACATTTGACTACTGGAAGAACACAGAGTTGGAGGCATCACAGTGTGTAATGAGTACTTGAATTAAGGAAGAGGTAGGTCCTGGTAGAATACAGGCAGAATGAGCACAGATAATACCTAACATGTTGAGGTTTATTGATTGATTGGTGGTGACCTATCATTGAGTCATCATGGTAACCATATTGCTTCCAAGTTGAAACTTTTTTTCTATAGTCCCGAATGTGATAGTATCAATGAAGCTATTTGTAAATAATCACATTCTTTCCTAGAAATAATTTAAAATTCAGGGTTTGTTTTCTTTAAATTTTTCTATACACATTTATAATTTTTGAGTATTGTTGATCTGTTTCTCAGACAGCTCTGGGTCTGAGAATCGAGATATAACCTTCCCTGGTCCCAGATTCAGGCAGTTTTTATTATGAGCACTATACCATGGGTGCTTCAGATTTTTATGCTTTCCTTAGGACCCTAATCACATAGTTTCCATTTAAGAGATTTTCATATAATCAAATGAGCAACTGATATATATTTGTTTGTAGTTTTGGAATTATGTTAATAAGTATCAACAGTGATTTACTAAATATCTGCTTTGATTAAAATCCTGTCATTTTCAAATATTTCCAATAAGAGAGGAAATACTTAGCTATAAGTACTGTATCAGCTCTTTAGTTGTAACTTCACCATTTACTAAACTGCCTCTGAATGCATAAATTTTGTCACAGAGACAAATGAATAGTCTCTCATACTTAGCAGTGCAAACTTATTAAGTTCAGTTATCCTGTGTCCTGAGAATTACTGTAAAAATAATTTTATTCTCGCAACATGCAACTAGCCCAGAGTCATACGCATAGGCCAGAAACTGGAGAATGTTGCCAAGACAAAGCATTGGAGTTTTTCAAGGGAACAGTTGTGATTATCCAAATAACAATCTGGTCAAGAAATCTTAGTCTTAATTAAAAGACAAGACAGACCCTCTGCTTTAAATCCAAAAAGAACATTTAGAACATTCAATTCCCTCAGAAAGTGCAGCCCTACACTGGGGGTAGAGTGGAAGGCCTGCCCTGGATTCTAAGGTTCAGATGTGCTGGCTCAAACCACAGGTCTGCAGCTTATTGATCTGGATCCTAGATACATTCCTCTCTCCTAAACTCAGTCAATAATTGTGAGCTCGTGGAGTGGTTCTAGGCAGTAAGTAATGTGTGAGTCCCCTAGCACAATGCAGTAGATACTGGTGCCCTCTCTCCCTTTGCTTCTTACACTGCTATTGTGCTAGCTTCTGAATTAACGGTTGAAGAGCTGCTTTTATGTGTGGTTTTCTTTCATTTGCTCTAAAGGGTCAAGGAAGACACTGCAGCACACATCACATCTCTCAAAGCATCTCATCAGAGGGAAATAGAGAAACTCCTTTGCCAAAATGCAGTAGAAAATTCCTCTTCCAAAGTAGCTGAATTAAATCGTAAAATAGCAACTCAAGAGGTAGGTGACTTTAACAAACTTTCTTAGACTTCAATGTGATTTTTTTTCAGTGCTGTTAACAGAACATTAATTTGGAAATATTTTAACTTCACTTTGGTATGTTGGTGATAGAAATGGTGTTGTTGGCTTGATTTTATGTTTATGAGGATGCCATTGCCCTATGTTTAACTATTTAAAGTTATACTCTAAATAAGTGTTTTACTGGTACAGTTTCACCCCTACATTTCTCAAGTAGATATTCTAAGTAGGTGTTAATGTATGGGTGAGGGCTGTGTCTAATTTGATTGGAACCTTAGTACCTGAACTTGAATGTTAAACACCTCCCTTTACCCCAAGTCCCAACTGACAAGTAATTGTCCTGGTCATTCTTGCCCCATTACCTTTTATACATTAAACAAATAATGATTCTGGGTCTATAGATAGGCACCTGGGATAAAATAATGAACAAAGAGATCTAAAGTAGTCTTTTTAAAATTATGACAGGGTATGCTAACAGGTTATACATTTCCTCAAAAGTGTTTTACTGTGTATATCTACTCAGATACCTATGAATATCTACCCTGTGCCCTTCTTCTATGGTGTTAAGTTGAAAAAAACAAAACACATAGCATTAGGAAGGAAGGGGATGGTGGGGGTAAGGGAGAGAGATCAACCAAAGGACTTGTATGCATGCATATAAGCCTAACCAGTGGACATAGACACCAGGGGGGGTTGGGGCCCATTGGGGGATTAAGGACACATATGTAATAACTTAATCAATAAAGAAAAAAAAAACAGCATTAAAATAGAATGTGCAGCTTACTTCAAATGGTGTATCCAAAAAAAAAATGTGGCAAAATGTTAACAGTTGGTAATTCAAGTTGAAAATACAGGAATGTTCATTTTGCTCATCATCTATTCTGTAGGTTTTAATTTTAACAAACAAGCAGAGGGGGAAAACTTCAAGAAATAATTATATCTTGCCCTGGGTTAGGTCAGTTGGTTGTTGCATCGTCCCATACACCAAAAAGGTTGCAGGTTCAATTTCTGGTCAGAGCAGATAACTAGGTTGTGGTTTCAATCCCTAGTCGGGGTTGGTACGGGAGGCAGCTATTCATGGTTCTCTCTCTCCCTAATATCAATAAAAAACATCCTCGGATTAGGATTAAAAATAAAAGAAATAATTATTTCACCACCACCTTTCCTACCTATAATTATTTAGTAGCATCTTAATTAAAAACAAATCCTCCAGTTGGGAAAGTTTGAATATTGGCTATATGTTAGATGTTATGAAATTATTGTATTTTTTTTTTTTTGGTGTAAAAATGTTACTGTGTTTTTTAGAGAAAATACCCTTTAAGGAAATGCATGTTGAAGTATTTGGGGTACTTAAAGGTGAAATATAATGAGGTCTATAATTTAGTCTCAGCTCAGAAATAAAGAACTGTGACTGTTTTTAATACTTAAATGAAAGAGATTTAAAGTGCTTTTCAAAAGTAACCATTATATAGACTTGTAGATAAGCTCTGTAGTCTTTTTCCTCATAAGAGTGGGGTGTTAGTGTGCAGTGTAAACATTATATCAAGTGATTATATAGTAA